AATATGACTAGCCGTTTGACAAAAGTAAAGAAAGAACATGATTGAATGATTAAGGAACATGCATCAAGAACAACTCACTAAATTTCCCTAAACTTAGTGATGTGAGGTGATAGGCTTAATCAGTCATTGTATTTTTTTTTTATCATATAGGCAACTTTTCTTGTTGGGCTGCAATTTGAAAACTTCAATAACAATATGTTGATGTTGGTATATCAACTTTTTTCTTCCTATTATGATTATTTATGGGACTGATTATTTATACACTTTCTAATTATTATCCATTTTTTATTTGTACACTTGTCAGTTCATAATGTGTTGTTAAGTTCTTCAAACACATTTACTTCCACCATCTTATGTTTTTAAGTATCAATATCTTTGTACTACTGGGCAGTTTTAGTGGCAGAGGTATAACTTCTAGCAAGACCTATAAATTTAGTGTTAGGGGTTTTAATGTAATTATGTTGTGGATAATTATATGGTATATTATTTATTAAAATAAGTCATTTGTTGGCATATGACAGAAAATGGATGTTCGTGAGAATCGTAATTGGATGTATAATAGACTTGTACCTGGTCGAAAGGGGTATACTAATGCATTTTTAAATGGTGTGACTGAATTTGTGTCATTTTCTTTTCAACATGCAAACATGTCAAATGGAAAAATTAGATGTCCATGTGTGGTGGACTTGGAAATTCACTCCATATTGTTGGCTCCATTAACACTTCTCAACATAGAGAAAATTTGGTAAATTTTGCTTTATACTGGTTTATGTATGTATTGGTCCTATATGTTGTTCTTTTGAACCTATAATCTATATGTGAATTATGGAATCCTTGGACTACATTTAGATGTGGAAAAAATGTAACATTAGTTAGTTCAAATTTGATTACATGGTGTTGTTTATGCTGGAAGAGAAAAATAGTTATTATATTACATATTGTCATGACTTGACAAACTTCTTTTCTTTTATGGTTGATATTTCACTTCTAAGTTTGTGTTTTTAATCATATTTTAGACAAAGTTGCCTCATCAGAGTTATTTTACAAAACATAGCAACGAAAGGATAACACATGGGTGGATCAAAGATCAGCACATGTGGATGTAAGTTCTTTATTTTTCTTCATATGTTAGTTTCTTAAACAATTGTATCCTTTTTTATGTTTTTATCCAATTCACTATTATTCTATTTTAATGTTTATAGGCAGAGTTTAGTCGTGCATGGGAAGAGCCTCCCAATCAGGATTTATTGCAGGAGGCTCTCTGCCTAATGAATTATAGGTTTGGTGTAAAGTTGCTGGAATAAACAAAAACAAAGTATATGGGCTTGGATATGAACCAAGCAAAGCAATTGAGAGAAATCTTTGTCAAGACTCTACTTCATCATCTGTCTAGCTTATGAAAAAGGAGATTGAACAATTAAAACACAAGTTACAGGAACTTGAGATTGAAAAGGATGATATATGTGAAAGAATGTTAACTAATGAGAAAAAAATTCAGAAAAATGATAAAAATGTTGCTCCTCTTGATGGAGAAGATAAATGTTCAACCTCTTGAATTGTAAATTGATACTTCTATTCTACATATTGTATTTGTTTTGTTAGTTTCTGACATTTCTAGAATTATGACTCTTACTTTAGTTTATTCTATTTACTTTTAGATTAAATTTTCAATATGTAATTAAGTATTTAATCAATGAATAATGAATTTATTTGGAACAAAATTTGGAGTATTATTTTGATGGTTATATCGAGATAGAGTAACTTTGATATATTTAATATAACATATAATGTATTTCATATTCCTTAATAAGGTTTATTGTTATTTTAAAAATAATATTAAAAATAAAATAAAATTAGTAATCGATATAGTGATCGATTCGGTCATAAAATCGGTCACAGAATCGGTCGCTAATTCAGTTACAAAATCGGTCGCTGATTCAGTTAGAGAATCGGTCACTGATTCGATCCCAGAACCAGTTACAAATTTAGTCCCAGAATCGGTCACTGATATGACAACTGATTTGGTCATCGATTTGATCACTGATTCGATCATAGAATCAATCACTAAAATCAACAATCAAGAAACATGTAGCTGATTTTGGTCATTTAGTGACCGAAATTTCGATCACTATTTATTGTTTTTCTTGCGATGGTATATACATATTATATATATATATATATATATATATATATATATATATATATATATATATATATATATAATATGTATCAATTTCATAATTGAAAAATAAAAATCAGAACTAACATGAAAGTGTAATCACAATCCTTTTCCTTAAAAAATATTAAAGAGATTAAAATTATGCTACAAAGGGAAGACATTTAACCAAAGACAATTTAAAATAGGAGACTAGACTCTCTCTCTCCATCACAACTTTAGTACATTAATTACCATTGGGCCCAAACCCAATAACACATCATTTTCAAACCCATCATGAATTGAGTCAGTATTTTCTTCTTTTTGAAAGTTGAATAACTAAATTATGTGTAAGATTGAAGGAAGGACTTAACAACGTGAAATAATTTCCTTCATTTGAAAACCATAATCTGAAACTTAAGGTGCTGTGTGTTGTGTGCATGGCTTAATTGTCCTTTCAATTTTGTGATGAAGGTTAGTAATAATTTTCATTACAAACTAAAGACAATTTTACTCAAACTAAAGATAATGATATTATAAATTAACCTAATCCTTATCTTAGGATACCAGATAAAATTACAAAATGATTTTTTTTTTAATTTAAAAATGTTCCGAGAGTAGTAATGTTGCATGAATCTGGTGAAGATGTAGCATATCATCTCTCATTTATTTTACTTTGTGTTTCGCATAAAAGAAGAAGAAGACAACAAATCGAACCCAAATAACAATGTTTAAAATTATGCATTTTTCATGTCAATATATAAAAAACGGAAACCAATCAATAGTTGGAAAGTCAATCACATTCTAACAAAATAAATAATAAACAGATAAAAACAAGAATGTTGATTTTGACCTACATAAAATTCCAAGCTATTACTCCGTAAATAAAATCATTTAAATTTCTAATAATAATAATAATAATAATAATAATAATAATTTAATGAGTTATTATTCAAATATTTTAATCGTAATATTGGTTTTTATTTTTCATTATATATATAGTACATGTTGGTCCTCTAAGTTCTATTTGTATCAATCACGTTTTCAAATATTGCAGTTATATTATTTTAATCATTTCAGAATCATGTTTTTGAAAATAAATTCAACTTGTTAAATTAGAAATTAGCCTGATAAACGATATTACTTTATAAAATCATAATTTTTTTGAAAAGGTAAGAACCGACCAAAAACTATTACATAGAATCGATAATTAAGAGAATATTTTTTAAAATTTAGAATTTAATATAAAATAATTAAAAAGAATTAAAAATATTATATAGTATGTTTTACAAATTAATGTGAATTATTTTACGTGCTACTATTTTTTTTTTGCTAAAACTTATAATTTAGCCATTTATATCAATTTTTATTTGTATGTCTTACTTTCATATAATTTATATTATATTAATTTAATTTTTTGAATGTAAGTTTGTTTTATTAATTGACTTTTGTATTTTACTAATTTAACATAATTATTATGATATATTTAATTTAATTTTTTATATTTATTTTGAATGTTAAGAATATTTTAGTTTAGTTTTTAGTATAATCTATTTATTTTATATATTTATTTTTATTGAAATCGGTTCAATTGTGGTTGAACATCGATTAAACTATTTATTCTTAAAATAATATCTTAAAATTATTGGTCTGATTTTAACAGAACAAAGTCTAAATGATAAAAAGAATAAAATCGCATATTTAGGTATCAAAATAATTTGATTGAATAATCAAGAAATAATATTCAATATATATAGTACTTGAAAAACTCAAATAACAAAGTTAAAATCGAATAAAGAGAAAAATTGGGATACATAAAATACACAAATATACTTAAGACTATATCAATCAAAATTTTAAATTGCAATTAGAAATCACTTTTTATGAGTATATTTGATATTGTAAGAAATCACGAATATAATGTAATTAATGTAGCCGTAATTGTAATCCCATGAAATTACAGTGGCAACTGAAATTGTGGTGCAAAAATATGTTATAAAAAAACTGATAATAATTAAATGTTACAATCTTTGGTTAAAATTTTCAGTCAAAATATTAAAGTATACTTGAAGAGTTGAATTACAGGTATACTTTTGTGTGTAAAAAAAGTTAACCTAATGGTAATGAAAAAAGTGTGTTTGTAGATGATAAAGATGATTTAAAGTGAGGAGTAAAAAGAGAAAGAATATGATGAAGAAAGTATGAGACTAGATGAACTAAGAGGCATGTTTGGAGGAATGTTTTTCCCTTGAAAAATTGTGTATGGTTTTGGTAAAAAAAGACTCCAAGTTGTCCTTAAGAACTTGTGAGAGGACAAACAAGTCATTATATACTTGTAAGTAGTTCTAGTAATTGAGGTTAAGTGCAAAGCACTAAACAGGTCATGCACATGCAGGAATATGGTATTGAGATTTTTTATGTCTCTAAACAATGTCCTTTAGCTCTCACCAAAAGCCAAATGGAATGAGAATACAAGTATTAATCAATGTATATAACAAACCAACTCACTCCAATAGTTATTTATCATTGGCAAAAGGGTCAAACAAAATAATAATGAACAAGTACAATTTTTAAATTTGGTAAAATTCCACCACCTCTTTGCTTTTTGTAGAATTCAAAAATTAACCTAGAAGATCCTTGAGATTCTATATGAAATCTGTGGGATATCGCTTTCCAAACAGTCAGATTTTCTAGGAGGATTATGTATCCTCTTGATCATGATAGGCTCCCATTTAAAGTGTTCATCACACACCACATTCTATACATCATTTCTATTCCTCTTCTTTGATCTTTTCTTTCCCCTTCTGTTGTGGCTTGCACGTATTCTCTTCCAACTGCTATGGCCATGGCTTTAGAGACTCGGTTCCATGTTTTGGCTGTTGATGACAGTCTTATTGACAGAATGTTGATTGAGAGGCTCCTTAAAACCTCTTCCTTCAATGGTAATTTTCTTTATGCACTATTCATTTTCACCTTTTTTAATATGCAATTTTTGTTGTTAATATTACTTATCTATGGTTTTATAATAAGGTTTGCAACACTAAGGTTTTTTTTGGAGTATTTGAAACCTTATAACCATGATGGCATGAGTCATAACACATGAAAGCATGTAACTGCAACTGTCACCATAATTTATGATATTAGGTGGGGGTTTGGGGTGATGAATTTGATTCTTGAATTTTGCTGAAATCACAGTTACTACGGTGGATTCTGCCACTAAGGCCTTGAAATTTCTTGGTTTGGTTGAAGATGAGTTGAGGACTTTTGAAACTTCTGTTGCATCAGAAATTCATCAGGTACAATTCTCTGACTTACTAATTCCTCATACAAATGGTCAAAAATATTTTGTGATCAAGTTTGAATTAATCATTGATTTAATTGTTCTTGCAGGATGTAGATGTTAACCTGATTATAACAGATTACTGTATGCCAGGAATGACTGGCTATGATCTGCTGAGAAAAATCAAGGTAGGATTTTTTGGATATTTTTCAAGATTCTTTTAGAAAGTTGGTGTCACTTTTTTATTTGCTTATTCTAACTTCAATTTCATTGACTTCTACAACAATTTTCTGCTCATTTACAAAATCTGAATGCATAAATAAAATTAGTCAAACTATGCCTTAATTTTGGCTTTTTCTTTAGGAAACAATTTGAAATGATATAATCTTATTTCTTAAACTCAAACATGTGAACTTTCAAACAATTATTTCTTAAATAAAAAATCCCTTCTGACATCTAAGTTGGGATACGTTTCAGATTTCCAATATAAAAAATATGCAATCAAATTTGTTGATGACCATCACAACATATCTTTGACAGCCTGTATATTCTTTTGCAGGAATCTAAATCACTCAAAAACATACCAGTCGTGATTATGTCCTCAGAGAATGTACCATCAAGGATCAACAGGTGAGGGAGTTGAACCCTATGACCTCAATCCAACACCAACCATTTTAAAAAGTTCAAATTCGCATAATATATAGTTAAATTTCATGTTTGACCAACATGACTGAATTTCAAAGTTGACTAACATGACTTATTTGTTTGTATCAGATGCTTGGAAGAGGGAGCAGAAGAATTCTTTCTAAAACCAGTTCAACAGGCAGATGTAAATAAGCTGAAACCACATTTGATGAAATCAAGAAACAAGGGAGACCAAGATCAAGAGCAAGAACAAGACCAACACTTTCATAACAAAAGGAAGGACATGGAAGCAATTTCTTCCCCAAACAAAACCAGATTAAAATGCAGCAGTTAAAATTGGTCTCAAATTAATGAAACATAGGTAGTGCTTTTTCATTTCTATGTCTTACTACTGGCTTGGTAGTTACAAAAATAGATGACACAGTCAATTAGCAAAAAAGAAAGGATATAGACAGTACGAGTCATTGACGTAAATAGTCTGAGAAGGAGTTTTATTCAATTTTGGTGCACAAATAACATTTTTTATTATGATATTTTTTTTTCTTTTAATTTTCTTTCTCCTGTATCAGTTTACGCTCAGAGGTCTCCTGATTTTCTTCTTAACATCAATTCTATGTCCATTAAGAGTTTTATATGTATTTTTGAAAATAATGAGTTTAGAAATTTAGAATATAAGACTATATAATACTAAAATATAAAATAAAACATTAATTTTAAAAGTTGTTAACCTTCAAAGTATATAAAAGTCTAAACAAAATAAATTATACTATTTAAGTTTAAAATTTTAATAAAATAAATAAAATGCCATTAACAAAAAAAATATATATCTAGAATAAAAAACAGGATGGTAAGTTAGTTTTATATTGAGAAATCAAGACATAAATATTATTATAAATTACTATAAATGAGTAAATTATATCTTATTTAAAAAAATTACTAACTATTTATAAAATTATAATTTCCTTTATTTATCTCTAAAATAATTATATTCAATTTTAAATTACTTATTTTTGACCCGTTACTATTTTTTACGAACTCTAAACTTTTTACAATCACTTCCTACACTTACAATTTCTTCCCACACCTCTCTATCACGGTAATATATATATATACCTTTTAAAATTCTTACACTTTAGTGTATTAAAGATTTCTGGATAAGAATGCAAAAGCATTTTCTAAAATGAGAATGTTTGATAAGATTTATCAAAATATTTTAAAATTTATTCAATTTTTTTCATTTGAAAAGAAAATATTGATATTATTTGAACTGGGAGGCTTAGACTCACCAGCCACGTTATGGCTTGAAGTTGAAGGAAAGATTTGTCCTTTCACTTGTTTAGTGTTACAAAAACTATGATTATCAAAAAATATTGTTTTATCTACAAAATAAAAAAATTATAAACACTGATTTTTTTTTGTTAATTAACTAATTCAAAAACTAATTAAATGTTTCTTATTCAACAACCTAATTTAACTTGTACCAAAGTCCTCCTCTCCACTAGAAATCGAAGCACACAAAAAATAGTTTTTCATCTTTGGAGAATCACCAATTAGTTTTAACAGTTATTTTCACTAATCTTTAAAAATCTAAAATCTATTAAAATATATTGATATCTTTCAATAGAGTTTTTCATATAAACTTGAAATTTCTGACTACATGTTCAAAGAACAAAATTACTTGTCAATATATTACACCATATTAATCCCTAACATTTTCCTTCATTGTTGGTTTTTTATTTATTGAATTATGCTAACTTTCCTTTAAGTAACCTTTATGGGACCGCAAAGGTGTCTCTTCCCGAGGTGGCCTTTTTCTTTAGGTTATTTCTAACATGTAAAAAAAAGGAATATTTTTTTTTGCTTTTCTTATTGTTTTGTGTAAAATTCGGTTACTGAAAGAATATTTTGGTGTAGTTTCTACAAATCTTCGTATAAATTTGTAATACAAAAAATATTTTTTAATAAAAATGATGTTACAAATCTTGTTAAACATAAAAAGCATGTTGGACCTAAAAAATAAATTTAAAAATAATTTCATACACCGATCGTTAGATTCAATAAATAATTATCATGTTGTAACAATCCTAAATATTTTTAAGAAAATTAGTTAATGATGATTCAAAAAAAGTATCGTCAACGAATTTCAACTTATTTTTAAATTTGATTCTAAGTTTTATTACGCAAGCTCAGACGTGGATAATTTTTTTCACCCAATAAAGTGAAAACATAAACGAGAATAACATTTTCATTTAAAGGAATAAAAAAAATTTAAGAAATTAATGTGATAATCAATATAAGATTCAGACGTCATAAAAATTAAGGAAGAAATCAAGAAAAATATCTGATACCATTTTATACTTCATATTCATAAAATTTATCTATTTTTATTAAAAATTTCTCACCCTAAAAAAAGATTACAAGCAAGATCTATATATAGCCTCATAGAATAAAAAAAAATTTGTCATAATTAAAAATAATGCAAAAGAAGAAATACATAATTTGTTATAAAAAAACAATTATGCTAATAGTTTTTGTGATCAATATTTATTTTAAAATTCATATTATTACACCAAACTTGCACAATTGTGATCATTGAATCCGATAAGCAACAATATTCGAAAGAAACTTTTTCAAAATAGTGTTGACAATTATATCATGATTTGTTACATCACAATGCAACGCCCTAAGATACACTGAATGAGGGAACAAGTGGTATACTGTTGATGCAAACACTTTCAAATTGAACGTGTGTTTGTCTCACCTCCCAAGTCCATATCATACTGGATGCTGTTTGATTTGGATAATCAAGCACGTTATTGTAGGATCCAAAATTGTATGATTCTCAAACCTGAATAACCTTCGCAATTCGTTGAAACTCCTGTTGGTAAACCTGCGATAATGTCTAATCTATAAATAATGTCCACATGTAAAAACAATGTCTATGTGCATTGAAGCCGAAGTGCTTGATGTTTGCCATAATCACATTCAAACAAACATCTCATTCACTTCATTTGTCATTGTCAATACAGCATGTGATGTTGCAAGATCACAGACAAAGTGGGAGTGTGCTCTTCTGTTATTATCTACTATCTAGCATTGCCTTCGTTAACTCTTCTCAGTTTGCATGTAATTTTCAATTGGTTATCCCCAATAGTAACAAATAGAGAACCCAATAGATGGTCTTAAACCAAAGCAACAATATGAAGTGAAAACATGAAGAAAGATTCCTAGAAGGTCATTCTTTCAATTTTTATTCATTATCTAGTGTTGTGATATCAGCTTTATTCCAAACACTTATGGGGATTTGTTTTAATTTACTTATCTAGAAATTATTACGGGGCCCAACACCACATCTTAACCCACAATTTTTGTATAAACCTTTTCTGAATATTCATTGCCTGCATACACCAATCTCTATTTGTAAGTTGTCATATATCTACCAATGTGTTTACACTCTTCACAAGACAAAACCACATCTTGACCACTGTGTAAGTGTTGTTCTACCATTTGTTACTTGGATCAGGCCCTGTACATAGCCTACTTTTTTCCAAAAAAGCCAAGTCATAACCAGTCATTACCAGGCTGGGTGACTTGCTTGTACCACTTCTCATCAACCCCCATTTCTTGAATTATTGTCCAATTCCAATCAATTCAAATTATCAACTCCGATACCACTTGTAATGCCATTAGGAGGAGTCCAAAAGATGTTCATCGATCCTTCCACTTTAAATGGTCCTGAGGTCTCCTCACCTTGTCCATTTCTATCAAAATGTTAGACTTCTTCAGTCACACCCATGTTGCTCTTGCCTGAATTCCCCACATCCAAAGGGAAAGAGATTCCTTCTTGAAAAGACTCTTTTGGAAATCAAAGTCCCTGCCAAAACTTTTCTTGAATGATAGAGACTTAATACTGATGAACTACAGCAGATTTTTAGTGCCATAAAATATTCTATTGATATGTGTCACGTTGCTCTCCAACTAAGAAATAACTGCACATTTATTTTTATGACATCATTGAGCCACTTAAAGATGGAGTAGGATATCTAACATGTTAGGTAAATCTTGAGATTGCCCTATAATCGTGAACTAATTTCTTCCTTACATTATCTAGAATCACAAATCTTGATGGCGCAGCATCATATCTATGAAGATTTTGGTTTGTTTGTTTGTTTGAAGTGGAGCACTCAAGACTTTAAAGAGGAGATATCTAAAATGAAATCTTTCACTAGATATGTAGAGAGATAGACAAGCTATTCTAAAGTTCATTTCTTTTTCTTTTTGCTAAATTAGACTGTCCTTTTGAACCTTTCTCCCCCCACCCCCACTCCAACAATAAAAAACAGAAAGGAAACTATCAATAGTGCAGTTCATAAGATAAGCTAACATTAAAAATTATATAAAACTTATTGACACAACATGCATTATCATAGTAAGAAAAAGCTTAGTCCCATTATTATCCAAATCAAAACGAAAAATACCTGCTCAAGCTCCTGCTTAATCATGATGGCTTAATCACATATAAATGGAAGATGTGGTTCATCCTAATTCGCTGAAAATGCAGGGAGGGAAATCTCAATTAAGTTTTTTCTGTGATTTAGAAGAAAAACAGCAATGATTGTTCCCAGCCCATAAAGACTCACATCTGTTATGAATGAACAACATGATGAATAAATCGGTTTTAAAACAAAATAGTTTATGATGGTTAGCATGCCAGATTTGCAAATGGTTGGTCTGTGTCATATTTTCCCAAATCTCAATGTTTTCCATACTAATGAAAAGTGAAAACATGAAGAAAGACACTGACAACCAGAAGCAATTCATTGCCCCTTGCATACAGGTGTAGGAAGATTCTTCCGGACGTGAGGGTTCTTCCATAAGCAATATTATCATCATATCAGCATCTGCTTTATTTTATTCATTGAATTTCTCGACATCAGACCCCTATCCACCACATGATTCCAGAAGATCTCTGACACTTTTCTTTCACTAGCATCAGAAGTATTGAAGCATTTATACAGTTTGACTGTGATCATCAACTTTCTCCTAGCCATCTCTTCTAAGACACCCAAGGCAGCACTTGCATTCCCTGCTTTCCAATATGCGTATGCAAAACTGGTGTAGATAACACTTTCACCTGATATACCATTTCCTTCCATATGATTGAATAACTTTTCAGCACATTCAACCCTTTCTAACTTGCACGACCTTCTTATCAATGCCCTGTATACAGAAACATCAAGACAAAGACCTCTGCTCAGAAACTCATCTGGCAGTGCTAAAACTGCATCCATATTGTCTTTCTTACAGTATCCATCTACAATCCATGTGTACGTACAATAACCGAGTGTAAATCCAGCATCAAGCATGCTGAACATCACCTCCTTCGCACTTTCCAACTCATTCATCTTGCAGAACCCATGAATCAGTGCCTTGTATGTAAATGGATCAGGTTTTAGTCCAAATTCTAACATCTTGTTCTTAAATTTCAAAGCAGATTTCATATCTCCAATCTTGCAGTATGCATTAATAAGTGTGTTGCAAGTGATATTGTCAGCTTGAACTTTCCTTTCACTCATTTCACTCAAGAGTTTGTTGGCATCCCTTATCCTGCCATCTTGACACAGCTTGCGTAAAATTGAATTGTAAGTAACAACTCCAGGGTACAATCCCTTAGCTTCCATCAGTCCCAGCATTTTCAGAGATTCCTCCAGTTCGTTTGTTTTACAATAACCATCAATCAATGTAGTATATGTCACATGATTGGGAGTTGCATTTTTTATTTCACTAAACATTCTCATAGCTTCTCTCATCCTGCCTTCTTTGCAAAAACCATAAATAAGAGAGTTATAACTAACAATGTCAAGGTTTATCCCCTCTCTTTCCATTCTGTTCTGGATGGATAAAGCCTCATAGTGCATACCTTTCTTACAATATAATGACAACAATGTATTATATGTGAAAATATCAGGAAGCAGACCCTTTAAATCTAACTCATTTAATAACTGTTCTGCCCTTTCCACATCTCCTGCTTTTGAACAAGCATGGAATAGACAATTGTAAATGTACATATTGGGAACAACTCCAACTTGAACCATTCTTCTGTAAATTTTCCACACCATGTGAGTAACCCCATCCTTCAACAAGGAATTCAAAAGTACAGTGCAAGCATGCAAATGAGGTTTGACTTCATGTAAGCTCATCTGCTCAAAAACTTGAATTGCATCATGCGTCATCTTTGACTTAGCATAATGTATGACAAGCCAGCTCAACACTTGAGAATTAACTTCTGGGTTGTCATGAGTCCTCACCAAAGTGCTCAAAACTGAAGGTGATGAAACAAAATCTCTGTTCGCAATTTTTTCAAGCATATGTTGTGCAGTTTTGAAATGCTTATGTTTGGTGAGGATGTGAATCATGGCCCATGAACATTGCAAGGAATGACTATAATCGGGGATGGAGTTGAGCCATTTGAAGAATGGGAAGGAATGAGAGAGCCCATAATCATAGAGTGAGAGTTGCAATAGTACCTGGTGAATGGTAGAAGAAGTGAAAGCAGAGGTATTCTTCACCTTCAACAGATTGCCCCAGTGACCCTTGACCACAATAGTGCACACATTATCAATCAATTGGCTATGATTTCCAGTGAGAACCATGTCTACGAATATGATGAATACAGCCCACCATTTTCATTTACAACCATACTTCGGTGATACGATTAGTTTTCTTCAATTTGTTTTTTTTGCTGTGTTGCTTTTCACATTTCTTGAAACCTGAAGAAGTAGAACGTCTCATTAAAATATTATCCAATGAGAATTAAACTAGTGTGGTTACTTTTATAATAAATTGAATTTTTAAATATGTTGGTAAAATATTATAATAAATTCTGACACTAGTAAAAGTTTTAAATGTGCCTATACTATGGTCAGTTTGGACTCTGCAAATTGCGACAAAGGTTATAGCTGTTTGTAAACAAAGCTTTGACATTACAGTTGGAAGATATTTAGGTTATTTTGATACAGCTTTGGTGATAGCTTTCCAAATTCTTATCTTAGATACCTCCTCAACCATTAGTCACAATTTCCACTGTATCTTCGACTATGGTAAATCATAGCCTGAATCAATACAACAACAATCAAATATTCAAAATCCTAATCAATTCATAAACGTCAAAATAACATGAAACAAACATAGCCTCGGAAATTGCTTAGTGTAGGTCACAGATGGAAAAGAGAATGTGGGGAGCGGAAAGCTTGTAAGTTATAACTATGCGGGAAAGGGTAGTAAAAAAAGTATACAAATGCTATGCATCAAACCTCATCTCATTTATCTAAGTCAGGACATTTATCAAACAAAGGCTGCATCTTTATGTAAATCTCAATTCAAAGGGTAAACTGTAGCCTGAGAATATTTGCATTACATAATATCGTAACAAATTAAGAAAACAAGCCATGGATCAATTAGCTACTAACCAAGCAAAAAACGAAACAGCAAAAATTGAATAATACTCGTTTACTGGATGATCAAAAGCAGAGAGATAATTTGAATTGAAAAAGGGTTAAAAAATAACAAACACTGGAACTCAAAACGACAGAAAAGAGAGAAACCTGAAGGAATTCTTTGCAACTCCATAGTTAATGTAAAATCCAATTGGTAGTCATAAAATTTAAAGTTGTCTTTTATATTAATCTTTATTTTAACTTTTTTTCTAATAATCATTTATTTTAATTCTTAAGAAAAAAAGATGAAAGAAAAAACTTCTCAAACAATGTCTTTCTACTAGTTCGTGTATCTGCTTGTGATATGAATCTCAATTACAGAAGGGGTAATTTAGGATCTTTAGGGTTAGAACCTTGTAAGAAATTTAGGAATTAGAAAGAAGGTGGAAGGAAATAATCACTCTTCCCAAGGGAGGCAACACACAAAAGATGTGACAGTCCTTTGATACGGCCAAGGGTTCTCGAATCACTCAAGAATTTAGGAGAATCACTCTCACTAAGATAAAAGAGATAAACTCTAATATTTCTAAATAAAATTCCACTTGTTATTTCTTGATAAAAATGATTCAGCTGATATAGAAGCATTGTCATCAGAATTACAAAAGATTCAATAAAAGAAAATAAATACTAATAATAACTCATTAATCTAAGAATTGAAAACTATTTAATGGAAACAAATAAAGGCTAATAATGATCTATTAACCTAGGAATTGAAACTACTTAATGACTGATTGTATCTGAAACTGTGGCAACCAAAAGTCAATCAGCTATGCACCCCTTGGTCTCCCAAAGCCTGATGACTAAATTTTCAATTGGGCTCTTATTACAACTTAAAACAAAATCAAACTAAAGCTCATTAATTGATTAATTCAAAACATAATTTGGTCAACCAACAATATTTGTTAAAGAGCTTCCTTTATTTCCCTTGCTCTAGCCCTTATCATAGGTCATGTTCACATCATTCTCTCCCTCTTGAAAAGGATTTGTCCTCAAATTGGATTCATCATCTACATAAAAAAGAGATAAGTCTGATAAATTGAATGTAGAACTAACATTATACTCACTTTTTATGGCTAAATAGTTCTCCCTCACTTCAAGTGTTTCACTCTTCTTTTGATCACTCTTTTTCCTCTCAAGTGTTTCACTAACGCTTTCTTTCTCTCTCTTTTCTTGAAGAAGTTTTTCTTTCATTTTCTTTTTATCCTCACATACTTCTTGTAGACTCAAAGGTTTGAGCACAATCTTCTTGTCTTGGTGCATGAAAGAGATCTTGTTGGTGAACCCGTTATGATTAACTCTTTTATCAAATTGTCATGGTCTCCCCAAAAGTAAGTGACTGACTTCCATAGGAATAATATCACAAAGCACCTTATCATTGTATTTTCCAATGGAAATGTCCACTTCAACTTGTTGTCTCACTTGCACCTCTCCATCCTTACTAAACCATTGAAGTTTATATGACCTAGGATGTGGTTTGGTAGCTAAATTTAACTTTGATACTAATCTAGCACTAGCCACATTGGTGCAACTACCTCCATCTATGATCATCATACACACCTTGTCATTGATTAAACATCTAGTGTGAAAAATATTTTTTCTTTGGCTTTCTTCTATAGGTTTCAATTAACTATCAAGTAATCGTCTAATCATCAATAAATCTTCCTTTGGAATTTCTTCCTCCTCCTCAGTGTCTTCACTCTTTTCTCCCTCTTCAACCTCAGATTCACTTATATATTCTCCCTCTCTAAGAATCATGATCTTTGTGTTAGGGCACTCATAAGTATAGTGTCCTAGGTCTTGACACTTGAAACACTTCACATCTCTACTTTTTTTAGAGGGTTGTTCTTCATATTTTGAATGAGTCTTTGTAGGAATAGGTGTGAAACTACTAGAAGTAACAGTCCCATCTTTTTTGCCTTTGTCCTTCCAACTTGAAAATCCAAAGTTGGAAGAACTCTTCTTAGTCATTTCTTTTCTTTTAAGTTGTTGTTCCACTCGAATTGCTTTATGAAGTAAATCCTCCATATCAACAAACTCCTGCAACTCAACAATATCACATATATCAATATTCAAACCACCAATAAATCGGGTCATAGTTACCTCTTCATCTTCTTCAATCTTTGCTTGAATCATGAGCATGTTCATTTCTTTGAAATACTCCTCAACCCCTTTGTTGCCTTGAGTAAGTTTTTGGAGTTTAAATTTCAAGTCCCTTGCATAACTAGCCGGCACATACCGCTTCCTCATGATCCTTTTCAGCTCAGTCCATGTATCAACCATTGACTCTTCATTTCTATCTCTCTCCTTTTGTAGTTTGTTCCACCAAACAAGAGCATAGTCAGAAAATTCCATTGTTGCAAGTCTCACCTTTTGGGTCTCCTCATAATTATTACATGAGAAAACATGCTCTATTTTCATCTGCCACTCCAAGTATGCTTCCGGATCACTTTTTCCTTTGAACGGAGGAATGTTAAGTTTGACTTCTTCAAGCCTACTTGGTCTTGCTACTCCATCATTCATTCTCCTATTTCTCCTTTCTTCTTCATCTTTAGAATTTCTATTCTCCAACCGGTTCAATCTTTCATGGAGCTCATTGTTATGTTGTATCATTAATCCTTCCAAATGTTGTACCAATACTCTCATTTGAAATGGACTAATTCCTGCTTCTTGATTGTAATTTTCCTCTTCTACCATCAATTTGATGTTTAAACCCTTAAACCGGAGCTTTGATACCAAATGATATGAATCTCAATTACACAATGGGTAATTTAGGATCTTTAGGGTTAGAACCTTGTAAGAAATTTAGGAATTAGAAAGAAGGTGGAAGGAAAGAATCACTCTTCCCAAGGGAGGCAACACACAAAAGATGTGACAGTCCTTTGATACAGCCAAGGGTTCTTGAATCACTCAAGAATTTAGGAGAATCACTCTTACTAAGATAAAAGAGATAAACTCTAATATTTCTGAATAAATTCCACTTGTTATTTATTGATAAAAATGGTTCAGCTGATATAGAAGTGTTGCCATCAGAATTACAAAAGACTCAATAAAAGAAAATAAATACTAATAATAACCCATTAATCTAGGAATTGAAAACTATTTAATGGAAACAAATAAAAGTTAATAATGATCCATTAACCTAGGAATTGAAACTACTTAATGACTGATTGTATCTGAAACTGTGGCAACCAAAAGTCAATCAGCTATGCACCCCTTGGTCTCCCAAAGCCTAATGACTAAATTTTCAATTGGGCCCTTATTACAACTTAAAACAAAATCAAACTAAAGCTCATTAATTGATTAATTCAAAACATAATTTGGTCAACCAACAATATTTGTCGAAGAGTTTCCTTTATTTCCCTTGCTCTAGCCCTTAGCATAGGTCATGTTCACATCAACTTGTTCATAGAATAGACACTTTTAAATAATTAACATGTAAAATAAAAATATTATTTCTCTAATTTTCATATATTGTTTTGTATGTAAAGCTTTTATTATCTAACAACAATACAAATAAGATATACATACCATTCAATTTGTGGATTAATTGATTATGGATGGTTTTGGCTTACACATTCAATTCTAGATATGTAAATTTGTTAAATATTTGAGAGAGTAAAATTGTTTATTAAGGCTTTATATCATGTAAAAAAATTATCTAGTTTTTATATGTTATCTTGAGTTAGTATCTGGTCTAAATGAGGTCAAGTTTAAAGATCCAACTCAAGTGTTATTCATCTAAGCATAAACTATTATCTGAACCACTAATCAAATAATGACATAACGAACACACATAAGGTGGTAATTATATTGTTGAGAGGTACATATTTATTTTGAACCATATTCCTTTTGAATGTATATTAGAGTGAAAATTCTTTGTCTGGTTGAAAAATGAAGTTGAGGTGAATTATATATTGCATTAGTTATGTTTCTCATTTTGACAAGAATGTTCAAATGTTAGAATGGGTTTGGTCCGTCAGACCAAGCCAATGGGTTGTCATATTGTAAAACGTGGGCTAAAAATAATCTGAGTTAATTTGTTGACTTCTCAATACAATTCTCTTGTCCACTTTTATTTGTGTTGTGTTTTCAGTTTTAGTTTTTAAGTTTCTTTAACCTTGCCACCTTGAATATACATATGATAAATATATGAGCCGTTTCTGAAGCACAGGCAAAATGCTACCACACAGACACTAAAGTTTCAGATGTCTGACTGCATAGTTGAACCACACACATATCCATATGACCAGTGTGAATCCCACTTGGCTTTGATATACTGATTATCTTGAACAAGTTTCAAGATCGATGGGTATCAGGTACCCAAACCCATAACAGTTTCAGTTCTGATTTAGAATATCAATAAATTGCTTAAATTATCAAGGTAACAACATATTGTAAATTTGGATTTACATGTTATCTATGATCAACAAATGGTGCATATATCTTTTCTATTTGGTGATTCACATATCCATAACATCAACTTTGCATGTCGTAGCTGATAACATATTACAAGGAAAAACAACACTAAACTAATTCGTTTTTTCAGCAAGAGGTTGTCCCCAATGGTAATAAAATCTTTAATCTGAGATGCTAGGGTCTTTAGACAGCAATAAAGTGCAAAGGAAACACCTTTTTCCACTTAATATTTGTAACATTGTGAAGCCCAGATTTTATTCACACAGTACTCAACCAGGAATCTTCAATCCAATACATTAATTTGAAAACCTTTTCTTCTCCACACCATACCCCTTTTTCTGAGTTATTCACAAGAAAATCCTGTGAACCTTAAGTTGGCTAAAGAACTAAACAGTATCCATCCACCCAATTGTGTATCTACCCCAAGACAACACGATCAGCAACCCCATCCCCTATATGCAATGATGGCTACAACTATATCAAAAATAAAATGTCCCAAGTTTCCAATACGTGTTCAAATAAGGAATCCATTTCATTAAAAAAATGGATCTTTAAGTGGAAATTTATTCCTTCAACTAGAAACAATAAAAAAATAAAATAAAAAAATCTCCATTATCCTATATGCTCCATTAATAACAAAATCCTCACCAACTCCACCAATTTGGAAGAATCCATATAATTTCAAAGTTTTCAAAAATTTAAACAGGAAAAAAGTTACAAGAGAGCATATCTAACATCTTGCATCTTCAATACTGTAAACCAACCAAAGCAAAATATTTTACTCATCTAAACAGATCTTAGGTAATTACAGGAAAAGAAATTAACCCACGGCTGGGAGAGCTGAGAGAACGATTCAGTGAAGAAGAGAAGAGAGACCTTTTGAGCTTCAGGTGAGACAAACGGGTTGGTGCCGACAGTGAGATACCTCAAAGAGCTGTTTTAGAAAGGGCTTTGTCGGGCTTCGTCGGCTTGATAACGTCAACTACAGCAGAGAGCTCCAATGCGACGTCAGGGGTGTCGTCGGTGTCGCCGTCGGCGTAGTGAAGGGCGTCGTTGGTGTGCGGAGAATAAAACTTCAACGACGGCACTGTCAGAAAGAAGGCACAAGGGAATGCCAAAATGTTTTTTTTTTTAATTCTTTGAATTTTTACTTTCAAAAATATGATTTCAATTTTAATTTATATATATAATATTTAGTTTTAGGTTAATTTTGTTACCACAAAGTTTCTGTCATTACAAAACTAATAAAAGAATTAAATTTATATAATTTTTTTAAGTTTGATTATTAACTCATTCATTTTTTTTAAGTAGAATCAAAATAAAATTTAATAAAAATTACAAAAACTGAAAATATATTTAATTTATTAAATAATTTAAAAATATACCTTGCGTTATGTTTAAAACCCTTAAAAATAAAAATTGTGTCCATTGGTTAAATGAAATGGTAAATGGTTTGTAGTAGTGGGTCAATATAAAAAAAGGGATTCATTAAGTTTCAATTGTTTAAATTTTTATTAACTTTACGTTTGATTCTATGGTGGAATCTCACCATTCTTCCAATTTCGTTTTTTTAGATTGAAAATAATCATTGATCTAGAACTCTTGGTCACACTTAAAACTTCTTATTTCCTATGAAATTATTATTTTTTTAATCAAAGTATTTAAGCAAAAAGCTAAATACCCCCTTCAAAAAATATTCTTATTTTAGAAATTTGATTACATTCCTTTCCCTTTCAAGGAACTATATTCAGTCACAAATAACTTTTTAAAGTAATTGTATAATAGGCAACAAAATTTTAATTGTAGGGTAATGGAGAATCAGATTATAAAAAACCTTCAATTTCATTAAACTATATCATAAATATTCATATTTGATTGTGTTTTGTGTTATTTCAGAAGGCAAAAGTCGCACATAGTCTACAATGGATATTACAAAAGAGAGTTCACCAACTTCATTTGTATTCTTACTCTCATGGGGCATTAACATTTTCATCCATTCACAATATAATTAAATGCTCCTTTACAATACCATTCAAACTATGAGCAGAACAACTAACATTTCCGGGTAATATTAATACATTTTGTATTTCTTCAACTTCTAACTCTTAAACAAAATATCTTCTACCTTATTTTCTCAAATCATTGAGAAGATCCTACATGATAAAATATATTTTCTCTCCACTCCAAGATCTTTAATTTCCCCGATTTTTAACCTTGAAAGAAGAGTTTCCTCAAACATATTTTGCCAAATCATTGAGATCATCACAGTACTTATTTTGTCTCTATCCCATTAATTATTGGGAAGCATTTTGCATTTCTTCAATTTCTAATATTTTGTCAAATCATCAAGAAGTTCGTGTAAGATAAAATACATGTTATTTCCCCTTAGATCTTCAAATCCTGTTCGATCACTTCTTCCACATTCTTATTCTTGCAGAGATATCATAATATTTTCAGTCATCCCCACATGCATATATAATCCTTTCAGAAATAAGAATAAATGAATGAAGTATCTCTTGAGATGAGAAGGAAGGTGGTGATATTTTAATTTTAAAACTGGGAATAATGCTTGTATCCTCTCATAAAACTCTGATATCTCACTTTCTAATATATTTTTCAATTTCAAAACTATAAAATGAACAATAATCTATTTATATTTTTTTTAATCTCGAGTTTGCAAAGAGTCCCAATAATGATATTCTCATTCCAAACATCGTCCAAACCAGAAGGAAATTCCTTCCACAAATTTTCTTTAAGAAATGTAGTTCTGCCTTATATTCAGTTGAACTATTACACTCCTCAAAGATCTCTCTTGTCCTCCTGAAAACATCAAACTCAAGTGAATCATAGATCCAATCCTTGAAATCAAATTTACATTTCATCCTTAACTCATTGTATAAAATTTGGACATGCGAGGTCTCCCGGATACCACCCATCAAGCAAAGTTCACATTGGAGCCAATTAAACATGAATTCTGTGTCAATGTCTCCACCGTGTACGCCCACAAAACATGTTAGACAACTTTTCTGACACTGATATAACCCCAGCTTCTCTGAAACCTAGTATACCCCTTTGGCTTCCAACAAGACATCCTAGGTTTTAAAGGACTAGTTGCATCCTTGATTCAATTTCCTTATCAAATAACTGACACAAGAGTATTGAAGAAACTCCATACCTTGTTTGAGATCTGGCTTTCCACCTTGCATGTAGAGACTTTATTGTGAATCTGATGCAAGAGATCCATCACAGCATCTTGGACAGCAGCAAGTCTGCATCATCATGATCCTTAAACCTCTTCTTTAGCGGTGACTCACTGAGTTGAGGTTTCTTCTTCCAAAATTCCACCCCAACGGAAAACAAATAAAAGCAGATTTACTTACCCTATGCAACTATTATCATAACATAACCTCATGCTAATTTTTAGTAAAACCTTCTTGTTATATTTATATTTTAAGACCTGGCACAGCATATAAATAATACAACTATGGGAAGTGGAGCTCATGCGAATGACTAGCTGTGGAGAAAGAGAAGAAAAGGAGAGTCACCTACTCTTCAATTTATTCCAACCATACAAAATTAATAAAATATATACAAAAGAAGAAAATTACAACCTGAAAGAACTTTGGATATTTTTTAGATTCTCATGCATGCAATGTGAGGGGTGTCAGAAATCAGAAAAAGTTCCTCCACCTAGAACTGCCGTATTTGCTTTTTTGGACATTAGTTCCAGTTATAATATTAATTTTGAAACTAGAAAATTAAATAAATACAAACTATTGTATTTGAAAATAATAATTTTAGAAATTTAAATAAAATTGTAATGTTTAAATAACATTCAATTTACATAATTACTATCTATTGTTTTAATTTTAAATTAAAATATTAAATAAATATATGATTTATAAAATTTTATTTAGGTACTTTTTTCTTTCTTATTTTGATTCATAAAATATTTAAATGATTATCATTATTAAAAAAATTCATTTATCATACTAATTTTTTCTATAGATATTTTTAAAAATTGCATAATGTGAGTTTTATTTTATTTTTATATAAATTTTGAGATTTAACAAAAATTGACAAAAAACAAAAAATATTCAAGATATAAAAAATAATGATTTTAACAAATTTAATTCAAATAAAATTTTGATTCAAATATACTTTGATTAGGTAATTTTGTTGATGAACAATTTTGATCTTTTTAAAAATTTACAAAATCTAATAACGTGTTTAATTATTTTATTTTATAAAAATTATTAAAACTTGTTAAATTTTATTATTAATAATTTTCATAAATAAGTACTTGATATTATAATTTTAACGGACAGGTTCAATTTTTTTATTATTTTATTGATAATTAGATGATATAGACAAAAATTCCTTATTTTTAAAATGGTGCTGTCAAATGAAAGTTAAATGCTGAACAAGTATTCACATCAAATAGGAAAAATGATAAATAATTAACAGTAAAAGAAGAGAGCAATTTCTTCACGTGAACTTCAGACGCGGCAAATCAATCAAAACATGAATTACACAGAAAGGGACCGAAATCACAATGGATAAGATTACAACTATGAAATAATTTTCTATTCTAGGATTGTGCATTTGGAGGCATCCCAGATTGGTTACTGGACTGCAATAAATAAAACAAAAAAAATTAATTAATCTTTAAGAGAAATAGGAACATTATCATATAACAATTGGCAACACACATCCAACAAATTCATCTATGTATTAGAGAAAGGATCTCAACTATTTTGTGCAATAAAATGTCAGTTAAGAAATCATATGAAAGTAAATTAAAATTTCAACATGATGAGGGGAAAATGGTAAAATGCCGGAATTAGAACAATTCCTAAAAGCTGGAATCATCTCCTTTTCTTTGTAAATGAAACTTTTTCAAGTTTGAATCCGTGTCTTCAGAATTTCTTTGCACTTTGATTTGATCTTATGAATTTTCAATTTTCTTAATATTAATGTGTATATCTGGAACATTTTATGATCCAGCTGAACTACAATTACTTTCTCGCCGTAAGGATGAACATCTACAGAGGTCTGGTTGTCTCAACTCAGGAGGTCGATGACTTTATTACATTAATCATAGTTTATAGGATTAACAGCACCAAGTGTTAATATTCAAACTGAGAAGAAACGGCCTTATGTCCTGCGTCGTCAGATAGAACTCATGTGTCATAATCTCATTTACAGGCCCAAGCCTTTATGACTAGTTCCCCCATATATTCAGACCCTTTTCGATCCAATGTTCAAGTGAAACATTCAATTAGATGACTATCAAGATATTGCATAAATCACCGCTAACCGCCTCGGTCAACAGGCATTTCTTGGCACTAGACTATATGAAATTATTTACTCCAGGGACCAGAGTGATAAAGGGATTTCTAGTTGACAGGTCTTGAATAAATTATATGATCAAGTGGAGCAGAAAACAAATGCATAAACTTATACACTGCTCAGCTACACATCGAGGAACACCTCTTATTTGTGAAATAAATAGAAAGAAAAAGTAAGCAATGAAAGAGCTGAGTGGATATATAGAAGTGGTTAATGTTGAGATTGATGCAAACAGTATTTGACATGTGTGTGATGCTATTTAATCGTGTGCTATCAAAACACAACTTAAGGAACAGGATAAAAAACAACATAAGTTTCAACTTCTGAGCAACTCACTAGCATGATATAAAAAGTTAATTCATGAAGCAACATGCTAACTTACCTGGTAAGGATTATACCCTTGCATCAAAGGCATTTGACCACCTTGAGGTCTGTTAAATGAAGCACCTTGGGGATAATTGGCATTTGATGGGCCTTGCATATTAGGCATGCTGCCTGGAAAACCACCAAGAGGTGGCCCTCCACTAGTAGGCAAGGATCCTGAATGCATTTGATTCATGCCCACGTAAGGACCTTGTGGCATTGGAGTACCCATTTGATTCATCGCCCCTTGCATACCCTGAAAAAAAATAAAATCAAATGGTTTTGTTAAATACGCATCAAACTCAATTACAGAGATCTTATTCAACCTGATATATTATTAAATTAGCATACAATTGCCTAAATAGTTTAATTTCTTCTTATAGTCTCCATCAAAGAACTATGTCTGTACCTAGCAAGCATTATTATCCACTGGTTAAAGCATTTCCTTATCACACAAAATCCTTCCAAATAATTTGAACACTTAATTTGTTATAGTCTGAATGTGGGAAAATATAATTATGGTAGTATACACACAGATCATGATGCGGTAACTACAGGAAGATGGTTCCTGTTTGTGCAAAGACAATGCATTTGTTATATCCAAGAGAGATAAAGCATTTCTATTTTTAGTTTAAAGAAAAGCTTGAGGTAATATGAAAAGCACAAATTAATAGGCTAAGGCAAGCAGGAAAACATAAGGCCCTAATTTGGTTAATGATATCTGTTTTATTTGTTTTAATTTTACGAATAAATACAATGCCTGTTAGGATATAAGAAAGGAGAAGTTTATTTAGATAACCAGACTATTAAAATGGGTTAATTAGTCAGTTGGAGGGGTTAGTTCGATATGAACAGGGAAAAAGGATAGAAGAGATGCATATTTGTTATCATTGTAAATTGAGCATAGGCTCTCTAACAATGCCAGGTTTTTTTGTTATATTTTCCATTTTTAAAAATTTGTACAAAAACAGTGAAAGCAACAATACTCTGTTTACACCTACGAAGCTGAGATACTGCAAATGCACAAGTGTCTAACACATCCAAAAACCGATATGCATCTGATAGATACATCTTGACACATGCCCAAAAGGTAACCATTACTTCTTATAATTTTCAAAATAAATTACACAATACAGCTTCATTTTAGCTAAGAAACAGCTTAGGATACAAATTCATGATGTATTTTTTATAGACATAATTATTGTTAAAAAAGTTTTTTTTATATATTCTTATCTTCAACTTGGGCATGAAAATTGTATATTTTGCAACATGCTCATAGTATAAAAAAATATATTGTAATATGGGTGGGGGAAAGATGTGTAATTATCCTTGTTATGATGATCATAACTATCTCTTTTGTAAATTGCGATCATCTATTGACTATTTTTATGTTTATGTACTAATGTAACCAGTAATTTGAATGTTTCTTTACAAATATTGTGCATGTGTGCGTAAAATATCTTGGGCTTTTTGTATCTTGACTTTTTTAAATATCTCTTTATCCACACATCTGTACCGTATCATACTATGTATCTGGGCTTCCTACGTTTCAATTATTTCAATACAAAACTTCAAAAACAAGAAACAAAATGAATACGAGATAGCCCATTTAAAATTATTTTTGGAAAGGAAATTAAAAGAAAATTATTTCTCAAATCAAACAGGCCCTAATAATCACCAAAAATAAGTAGAAATTTGATCTTCTTAAAAGTGTAGTAACATTTTCCAACTGGCTCCCGCAAGATTAAGAAAAGATACATTTGGAAGCTAAGCCCATAATTTTTTTATATTTTATAGGAAAAATTAGAATAATAGAAAAGTTCCAAGGAACTCGTACCATTGGACCAGGCATTTGCATTGGATGCGATGTAGGCACTGATGAAATCCCTGGTAGAGATCCTGGCATGCCAATAGGCATTTGGGGAGGAGGACGAGGTAAATGCTGGTGAGGGACCATGGGTGAGTGGGAAGGGTGCTGTAGTTGGGGCATATTTGGAGGCATAGGCAAAGGACCCATCTGCTGTGGTAGACCCTGGTGTTGATGTTGTGGCGGCATCTGCTGAGGATTCTGTTGATATGGTTGTTGTTGGTTGGCATTAAGAAGAGAGGGATGTGGACCTGGGGGAAGAGGAGGAGCACCCATTGGAACAGGATGGGGCTGCTTCTGCTCTCCTTGAGCCATGTCAAGAGAAGGAATAGATAAGGGCATTGCAACTCCAACACCTGGAATGGTACCCTCGTTTCGAGTTAACCCAGGGGCAAATGGTCCTGGAGTTGTTGGGCCTTCAGCCATTGGAAAATTACCACCCACCCGACCAGCAACAGGATTTGGATCAGCATATCCTGACATGAATATATTCAAACTAATGTCAAACACTTCATAAATCGGTTGTCTCTCAAAACAGACATTGCTTCTAACTAAAAGCATTACCATCCACAGTTCTCTCCATCCTATAAAAAAGCCTTGAAATATCACATTCTCTTCCTTAAGTTTAGCAAAAGTCTAATACTAACAGAGTGCATTTATAAGGGATTTACATTACCATGAATGTTGTAGAGTTAAACAATCTAAACCCTTCAAACAATACAGTTCCATATTTAGATGAAAATATTGAAAGGTTTTATAATTTGAGTCTGAAGAAAATAAATAATGCAATGTGCTTCATTTGCCTTCAAGGAATTGAACAAACCTTGCATGCCAGTGTTAAATCTATCACGAGCAGTGTCTCCTGGCCTATTTCTGCACCAAAACTTTGTTGTATGATCACTGCTACCACTGTAGAAGAAATATGATGGTCCAGTAATTTAGTTATCAGTAATTACATTTTTTACTCTTTTATCAACAGATCAATTAAAGGATTACCAAATGTCCAAAAACATATTATTGAAATTGTAATAACTAAGAGCTAAGATGTCACTACTTTGGATATTATTACCCTAAACCTCGAAACAGTTAAACCAAAAGCTTCAAATGGATCCTCAAACAACTTATGATCTCCATCAGAGTTTCTTCCCAAAGTCCATCACTATATAGTATTTTTTTAATTGGGAAAATATTTGAAAAGCAGAAAGTTACGTGATTTAGTATAACAGAAAGACAAGTTGTGTAAATGGTGATAACACAAAAAGAAAAGAGACAGAATTCCATCAGATACTAATATTGCAGAGAAAAAAGATAAATTTCACCTGCACAGAAGGTATCCAATAGGATGCCATGCAAGATCCCACACGTTATTATCATGAGCATTGACAATTTCAATTTGGGGAGTTTCATGCCTGCAAATACATTGTAATGTAATAATCAGAAATAAATGAATACCTACTATCCAAATTTCTGGGGAATTTTTTTTTTTTAAAAAGACAATACATTATACATAAAATTAAATTAATTAATTTTACAGATAATGTTGGGAAAAAAAATCCAAACTAAGAAACATCTATTTCAAGGTGTACTGTTTTAACCAACCAATTATTTCAGAAGCTATAATCAAAACCATGATGAATCAATTCACCGGTACTACAACTAAAAAAAGATAGCTGATATTTTTCACACAATCCCAATCTGTACAACTTATAGGAATATAGTTTAACCTTATTCTTGTTGATTTAAAAAACTTATACACATGTGCTTACATGATAAGTACTTGTTTATTGAGTGCTTAATCATGTTAACTCAAAGAGACCTTGAATCCAATCAACTCGAAAAATAACAGAAAAATCACAACCAAATAAAAGAAACTTGGTAAGAAAACTGATAAAAACAGGAATGATGAGAAAAAGAGTGTTGTATAAAATAATGCAAGAACTGAAGACATAGAAAGACAGCAAGTGAGAAAACGTCTTTACCCAACAAGCCAATGGAAGATGGAACCATCATAACTCCCACTCACAAAGTACTCTTCATGGAATGGATGCCATGCCAAAGCTAACAACAAGTGTCAAAAGTCAGAAAAATAGTATTCTATTTTATCAAAGTTGCAGAAGCATTAGAAAAAGTGTCATTTACCCTACAGTCCCAGTAACACTACAAGTAAACCAATCAAACATTCAGCAACAATTAAGTATGCGTGCATGCATAACATGACCTTGTGCTCGTGCCATTGAGAATTCTATGAACATGATAATATGTGGAACTGTATGAGTTTCTATCCTAGGAACCCAAAAGTTTTCAAAGTTGCCTTAGTTGCGGACACTCTTGGCCCACCTTAATATGCAATAACATGCACATTCATTGTGATTGGTGTGAGGGGTTGGACATAGTCCCTCACCAACTAGAGGTAAAGCTTATGTAATGCTTATAAGCTGGGGCAATCTTTTCCATACAAGCCAGTTTTGGAAGTTGAGCTAGGTCTTAAAAGCTCAATTTCTAATATTTTCATTGCTACATACAACAGCCAATACATAATGAAGTTAGGAAAAACAGTATAGTTAATCAATTTGGATACAGAGAACTGAATTTTCAAATTGGATATGTTGCTGAATAACCAAGTGCTCCTACAATGAATAAAAATGTGATCAGGAGTTGAGACTAAATTGCTGCATCATCTGATTTAACCATTTTTAGCTCAAGTTTCAAAAAAGTATTTTTGTTGACTGCAATTTAAACATGGTTATTGTCATTAACAATGTTAGGCATAGTCAAGGCATGTATGGAAAGGAAAGATGGTAGCCAACGAAGCTGTTATTAAGATCAGTAGAATGATGCCATAATAAAAGAATAGAACATATAATACTTTAACTAAATAACTAAGCCATAACTGGTTAAGATTATAACGAAACAAAAAATCACAGTCAGAACATTAACCACACCTATCAACATAAAATACCCACACAGCACTAGGAATACCAATTCTTAGCACGGAGGAATGAATTGAAGGACATTTCCACCACTTGAAATCAATCCTTCCAATCATACTTCAAATCAAAACTTAAAAAGCATCATCAAATATATTGTGTGCCACGCATCATTCAGACTCAACTTCAGTTTTACTATAACCTGATAGCATTCCATAGCCAGGTAACATCAAAAAACCAGAAATCTAATCTCAGCTACATAATAAAGATTTCAAAAGTTTAAGACATCAAGCAATGTTTGAAAGTCATTGGTAAGGTGTTTTAGCTAAAGAAATTATGATGACAATCCTGTTTTTATCATAATATACCTTCTTCTAAGCAGCCATCATATTTATTGCAAGATATATTAATCTCAATGAACTATACTTCCATTCTTATTCCAAGAGTAATATACATCACATACCAGTAACATCCTTTCGATGTCCACGGAATGATTCAAGCTCCTTCATTGCTCTTATGTCATAAAGCTGTAAATACAAGGTACACATGAATGAATATTGGTACTCTGGGATAGGAAATGTATACGCTGGAGTTATAAAAAACCGGATTACTATCTCAATTTCTATTACCATCAGTTCATTGTATTTAGAGTAATTGAGAGAGTTTAACTGTTTAATTAGTCTTCATGTGAATTGTATTCTGTATTAAATATATGTGAATATATGATTTATCAAATGTGAATTGTGAACTCAAAAATATTCCCTCGAAATCACTCTTCTTGTTTTTATCTTAACTGTATAATATGCCAAAAAGGGGAAAAAGGTAATAAAGCAGGATTAAGTAAAAAAATGGGGAGCAACGAGCAAAATAACAGAAATTTACAAAGAAGAAATAAATCTACGGGAAGTGTTGCAGTGAAAAATGACATAGAAAGATTGTTCGGTAGATAAAATAACTCAGAATCCTCAAAGGTTTACGTAAATATTCAAAATAAAAAAGACAGGCAAATGATTATTAAGAGCATCTCCAATGGGTGTTGCTAATAAAAGTTGCTTAGAATTGAAAGAAAGTAGCTTATATAAACAACTTTGACTAAGTTTTAAACAACTCATTTGTAGGACCCATAATAAACTATTCATGTTTATTCCTAAACAACTCTTACTAAAAACTTCCTTTGGGAATGCCCTAAGGATCCAATAATTGGTATCATAAGATATGTTTACCAACCTTTATTATTTGATCCTTTGAAGCTGTCAACACCCAGTTGCCATTTTGATTCCATTTGACACATAGCACAGTATTTTTGTGGCCATGGCTGCATGAAAGGAGTATGACTCAATAAACATAGGCAAACACCTGAAACAATAGAAATCAGCACTAATGTTTACACTCACAATGAACAAAGCTCTCTCCCTGTTTTAGCATCCCAAAGTTTCACAAGATTGTCCTTTCCACCTGCATTGTCAAAATCAAATGGGACATGTAATCATGTTATTAAATTTGACAATCTTGAGAAATTTCATAAAAGAAATGTTTAAAGCACCTGCCTGATACTAGTAGGGATTTTGTAGGATGCCAGTCAACACTCTTCACATCCCAACCATGGCCTGGCTGAGTTCAAATGCCACAATGATAAATCTAAGGTTAGGTCTTCAAAACGGACAAAAAAAAATATAAAGTATGAACACAAAACAGATTCTAAGACTTCCAAAATAAAAATCCATGAATTAATTGGGTAATCACATAAAAAATTGATTGGTTTTAAATAAAAACTAATGGAATGACAAAATTCTAAAAGAAAAATTGAGTGACAAGGGAAATTCAAAGATGTAAACATTTGCACAATAATCTAGGTATTTGGAACAGACATAAGAGTAAATAGACGTGATAGGTTGACTCCATTATATTTGGAACTTTAAAGTTTCCACATGCAGTTGGGTTAGGACATTATTGACCATGGTGGTATATTACATATGATAAAAAAAAGGTTTTTCTCTAACAGATTACACAACAACGTGTTCTTTTTCAGTCTCCAACATGTTGTGGTATATTCTAGTGGCCATAATGGTATACACATAATGATAAAAATTCAGTCAATATCTTCATTTAAAATTTATCAAGTTCCAGTTATATTCTAAAGTGTTGAAAATGATATTTAAAAATCAGCTTGAATATGTTTTTGGTCACCGAATCATGATCATACTTTTCTTAGTCCCAATTAACTTTTTTCTTGTGTATTGGTCCCCCAAAAAAATATGAATTGGTTTGTCACTATTTGATGGAAAATATGTGATAAATTTTTTTTTAGGGACCAAAAGAAAAATCTAAAAATGTTTCAACGACCACTTATCAAAGCCAAAAGCTGTCAAGGACGAAATACAAAATAAAAATTAAGGGCCAAAAGTCAAGCCAAAATTTATTAGGGACAAAAAAAATAAACAGATGTCAGAGCCCAAAAATATATTTAAGCACTAAAAACAAAATTCCTCATCTATGACCGCATGTAACAAAAAAAGAAAGATACAAACCCTCTTACTTCAAACAGTAGAATAACAGATTCAAAATGAAATGAAGGGGCCTTAATGCAGGACGTCAGGCAAGGGAATCAATTTTAAAATGTGATATGAATCAGAATTGGGATGATATATCTGAAGTATTATCGATACTAAATTATAGCTAAATCAGAGGGGGACCTCTGTTACAATGTAAAATCTAGAAGAATAAAAAACATTGACAATGGATGGAGCAAAGCTTCTTGCAAATAATAAATTTTAAGAAGCAAGAAAACAAAACATCAACTCAAATGGGCAACAACAACCCTATTCATAGGTCCTCCATAAGTACCAAGCTGGTACTCCAAATAAATCAACTAAATCATTAATACTAACCCTAAAAAGATGTTAAGGTTCTAACATAAAACCAATTGGCAATATATGGAGTAGCCTAATATGTATTTAAACCATACCAAATGACATGAGGTAGGCGATGTGGGACTTTCAACACGCCCCCTCCATCAGGCAAATGATACTTTTGACCCAACTAAAGGGCAACTTTGGGCCCATGACAATAACCGGAAAGATGTTAGGCTTTGGCTCTGATACCAAGTTAAGAGAGTAAAGAGAGTGAAAAGAAGATTTCTAATTTAGTGGGATGCATTACTCCACTCTATGATCTCATATATATATAGGATTACAACATTTAAAACAACAACCATCAACTACTAACAACCACCAACCACCAACTACTAACTACTAACCACTAACCACTAACTAATAATAATTCTAACACTCCCCCTCAAGCTGGAGCATACAAATTGTATGTGTCAAGCTTGGAACAAATAAATTCAATTTGAGGTCCTCTTAAAGACTTTGTCAACACATCTGCAAGTTAATCATTAGACCCAACAAATTCAGTGCAAATTTCTTTAGACAACAATTTTTCACGAATAAAATGACAATCAAGTTCTATATGTTTGGTCCTTTCATAGAACACCGGATTAAAGGCAATGTGGAGAGCTGCTTGATTGTCACAATACATCTTCATCTGTTGGATCTCACAAAATTTCAATTCTTGAAGGAATTATTTCACCCACACTAGTTCACAAGTGAGAGATGTCATTGCTCTATATTCAGTTTCAACACTAGACCGGGTCACTACATTTTGTTTCTTACTTTTCCAAGAAATAATATTGCCTCCAATGAGAACACAATATCCTGTAGTGGAGCGTCTGTCCATAGGGGATCCAGCCCAATCAGCATTACAATACCCAGATATTTGGGTACCCCCTTTATCTTCATACAACAGACCTTGTCCTGGAGCTTTTTTGAGATATTTTAGGATGTGAACGACAGCATTCCAATGATCAGTACGCGGATTTTGCATAAATTGACTCACAACTCCAACGGCAAAAGATAGGTAAGGTCTCGGTAATGGTGAGATAAATGAGTTTCCCAACAAATCTTCTATATCTCTCAGGATCGAGAGCGGTTCACCTTGATCCGCCATTAATTTCTGATTTGGATCCATAGGGCTGTTTACTGGTTTACAATCAATCATGCCTGTTTCTTTCAGGATATCTAAAGCATACTTTCTTTAGGAGACTACGATGCCTTCTTTTGATTGAGTCACTTCAATCCCTAGAAAGTATTTGAGACAACCAAGATCCTTAGTTTGGAAGTGATTGCATAAATGTTTCTTTAGCAAAGAAATTTTATCAACATCATCCCCTGTAATGACTATATCATCTACATATACAATTAAATAAACACATTTTCCTGAAGCAATATAATAAAAAACAGAATGATCTGCTTCACTTCGTTTTAATCCAAAACTTTGAACAATGTGACTAAAATTTTCAAACCAAGCACGTGGAGATTGTTTGAGACCATAGAGAGAACGATGTAACTTACAAACTAAACTAGACTCCCCCTGAGCAACAAAACCAAGAGGTTGCTCCATATAAATTTCCTCCTCAAGATCACCATGCAAGAACGCATTCTTGATATCTAACTGATGAAGAGGCCAATGACGGATAGCTGCCATAGCAAAGAAAAGTCGAACAGTAGTCATTTTGGCCACAAGAGAAAAAGTATCACTGTAGTCAAGGTCATAGATCTGAGTATAACCTTTTGCTACTAATCTAGCTTTGAGTCGATCAACTTCACCTTTTGGTCCAACTTTAATGGCATAGACCCAACGACAACCAACAGTCTTCTTCCCATGTGGAAGAGAAATTAAGTTTCATGTACCATTGTGCTCAAGAGCCTACATTTCATCAATCATGGCCTGTTGCCATCCAGGATAATCAAGTGCCTCTTTCACATTTTTTGGAATAGTAATAGTGGATACAGAAGAAACAAAAGAAAAATAGGAAGGAGACAATATATGGTAGCTAAGAAAATTGTAAATGGAATGTGGATTACGAGTAGAGCGAGTACCTTTGCGAATGGCAATGGGCCAACTTGAGTCATCATTATCAGGAATCGTGGTATCAGAGGATGATTGAGAAGGATCTGCTGAGGAAGACTCATCTTGGGACATGGGACTGATCATTTGGCTCCTGTGTTGATAGGTAATAAGAGGCAGTGACGAGAATTCCGGTGTATTTTGTGTGGAATTTTGGGTGTCAAGAGGAGGAGGTACAAATGGCTCCACTAAGGGTATAGGTAGGACATTTTGGACCGAACTAATATCCTGCATAGAAGAAGGGAAGAAGGAAGTTGACTCAAAAAAAGTGACATTAGCAGACATGTAGTACCTCTTGGTTTCAGGAGAATAAAATCGATATCCTTTTTGAAGACGAGAATATCCCAAGAAGACACATTTGATGGCTCTAGCTGATAGTTTATCTAAACCTGGAGACATACCATGAACAAAACATACGCAACCAAATACACGATGAGAAACATGAAAGAGTGGGTCTGTTGGCAATAGAATAGAGTGTGGAACTTTATTGTTGAAGCTCAATCAGCAGTTGAAGAATTAAAGATGTTCCTAGAGGTGGATTCGTTAGAGGAGATAAAGCAAAAGTTGGATAAATTCTATATGGTTATGACTCTCCGGGCTATGAATTCAGAATTTGATCAGGTTAGAGATCAAATTTTAACTGGACAAGAAGTTCCTTCTATGGAAAGTTTGACTACAAGACTGCTTCGTGTTCCAACTCTCAAAGGAAAAAATAATCAAGAACTTATTGAATCTTATGTTATGATTTCTACCCGTGGAAGAGGAAGTCGCGGCACTAGAGGAGGACGTGGAGGTAGAGGACGTTCTCAGTGCACTCATTACAAGAGAATGGGTCATACAGTGGAAAATTGCTACTCTTTGCACGGTTTTCCTGACAAAACTGTCAATTTTTCCAAATCTGAAATGGTTGAACCCAAGTTCTCTCACGAAGAATATCAGGAATATTTGAGGTTGAAATCCAGTAATCTAGCACAATCATCAACAACCCCAAATTCATCAACAGCTTGCATTTCACAATCTGTGGAAAGTCAAAATCCATGGATTATTGACTCAGGTGCTTCTGATCACATGTCTGGTAATGCCTCTTTGTTCTCTTCTTTCTCATTTCCTAAAACTCCTCATCTCATAACCTTAGCCAACAGATCTAAAGTAGCCTCTAAAGGAACTAGTCAAGTCTCCATTTCTCCGTCTTTAAACTTAAAATTTGTTTTTTTTGTTCCTTCATGTCCCTTCAGTCTCATTTCCCTAAGTCAATTAACCAAATTATTGAATTGTTCAGTAACCTTTAATGCCAACTCTTTTGTTATACAGGAACGTGGTACGAGTCGACAGATTGGCGAAGGACATGAATCTGGAGGCTTATACTACCTTGGGACTAAATCATATGTATCTTGTGTTGCATCCTTGTCTCCAAAACTATTACACGAATGTTTAGGGCACCCTCACTTATCAAGATTAAAAAAAATGGTTCCTGAACTTCAGACTCTTCAAGATTTTTGAATGTGAATCATGTCAACTAGGGAAACATACTAGGTCCTCTTTTCCTAAACGTTCTGAATCTAGATGTGACTCTGTCTTTTCTCTTGTTCATTCTGATATTTGGGGTCCTAGTCATGTCCCATCCTTTGGCTATAGATATTTTGTTACCTTCATTGATGAGTTTTCTAAGTGTACTTGGATTTATCTAATGAAAGACCGTTCTGAATTATTACCTATCTTTAAGTCTTTCCTTAGCGAAATCAAAAATCAATTTGGAAAAGTAATCAAAGTTTTACGAAGTGATAATGCCAAAGAATACTTTTCTACTGATTTCTCCACTCTCTTAAGCTTCCAAGGCATTTTACACCAGTCTACTTGTCCTCACACACCACAACAAAATGGTATAGCAGAACGAAAAAATAGACATTTGGTTGAAACTGTTCGTACCTTATTACTTGGTGGAAATATGTCCGTTCATCATTGGGGAGATGCTATTCTTACTGCATGTTTTCTCATTAATAGAATGTCATCTTCTTCCCTAAACCCTAAACCCTAAACCAATTGGCAATATGTGGAGTAGTCTGACATGTATTTAAACCATACCAAATGACATGAGGTAGGCGATGTGGGACTTTCAACACGCCCCCTCCAACGAAGCCTGCCGGATCAGGCAAAGGGTACTTTTGACCCAACTAAAGGGCAACTTTGGACCCATGACAATAATCGGAAAGATGTTAGGCTTTGGCTTTGATACCATGTTAAGAGAGTAAAGAGTGTTCAAAATATTTGGTTCTACCGATTGTCACAGTAGAGCACAGAGTTGATAATCAAGCTTTTTCCATTGTTGAGCCTGATCTTCTGGTATCTTACTTCCATCTTCTTCTAGATGATCGTGAAACCCTTGTCCAAGGAACCAAAGTTCCACTGAAGAGGACCAAGACATGTAATTTTTTCCATTTAATTTCTCAGTCGTTATCGTGGTAGTTCCGGAAAAGGAGGTTGTGGGCCCTGACGACATGTTTTAAATAATGTAGATGTAAGATGGAGACAATGGAACCAGTAAGAAAGAGAACACCCAATATAGGCGGAAGATTAATGGAAGGTGGTCGAAATGTCGTCGGATGGCAGCAAAAAAAGGTGACTGAACGGGGGACTGACAGTTGTCAAAAAGTGACCGGAAAGTGGCCGGATGGTGGCCGGAAAATGGTCGGACGATGACCGGAAATGGTCGGCCAGTGACCGGAAATGGCCGGACGGTGGCCGAACAGGCAGAGCAGGACCAACCTGCTCTGATACCATGTTAAGGTTTCAACATAAAACCAATTGGCAATATGTGGAGTAGCATAACATGTATTTAAACCATACCAAATGACATGAGGTAGACAATGTGAGACTTTCAACAAAAGAAAAAACAGTAAATGTTCAAAAGATTAGTCATATAATTGGTCACAAAAGATGGTACAACTCTACTACCATGTTGTGAAAAAAGAAACCGAAAAATAATATAATGAATTCCGTGTTTTGTGTACACATGAGTATTCTTACTTATATAATGAAGAAGAGATACAATAATAAAAAACAAAATCATTGACTAATAATCAGAAATACTTATCGAAGTATTTCCCTATCAAATTATATCTCTAACATAATCAAATCATATCTCCAACAGTAAATCTGATGACATTTAACCCACAACAGTAAACAAGTATCCCCATCAAAATATGAAAATAGTCATCCACAAGAACTTGTCAGCACAACAAATAAGATGAGAATGACCTGTAGTTAACGAGAGTAATTCGATTCACACCAGCACAAACTCAAAGATGCAACTGATGCAATGAATTACTTGAAAATTTTACAATTGCTCTACCATTGACAACCCAACATCCAGAAACACAAAAGGTTATTTAACAAAAAGAGATTTCCAATTTTAAGTGTACTAGCAATGTAATCTTAGTTACTAATTCGGAAGCATAAAAAAGTATAGCAGAGATAAAACATAGGTTAAGAAAATATTATTGGTAGTAAGAACCCAACAAATATATTAAACACAATACTACTTAAGATCCAGTCTCGGGACACCAAGTAGATTAGAGACAGGTAACTGATTTTCAGATATGGTCCGTCCAAAGCACATTACCAGTTAATGAGCACTCTTCTTGACAGCGTGCAAAATCCCAAACCTTAACTGTGGTATCATCAGAGCACGAACAGAACTTCAAATCTGTCCTACAGAAACTGTTTATAAAAAAGGTTATAGAAGATATCCCTTCAACATGTTGCATATATTTTTTCTCAAATAAAACATCCACCTTAAGTCACGAACAGATTCTTTATGAGCAGATTTGTTAGCTTTCACATTGTTCATGTTGTTCTGCCAATACCTAAAAATGCCACACATATACAAATACATCTAATTAGATATACAGTAAAATCTAATTACATATATTTTCCTTTATGCCCAAAATCTGCATAAACAAATATATGCAATATTTTGCTTACAAGAAACCATATAATGATTAAAACATGTATATACTTTATAGCGCCTCCATCATCACCAGAGACCATCCAGTTGTCATTGTGACTCCATACCATGGACCTGATTGCTTGATCATGAGCCTGCATGTGTTTCAAAATCCACATTTGACTTTTTAACTACTGATGACTACAACAATAATGTTGAGTTGATACAATAATTAAAGTTTTGTACCTGAAGAATCATTTCAAAATTAAAAGATTGTCCATTCCAAAGAGTGAATTCCCCAGTCTGTGAGCCAGTAATAAGTCGCCGGCCTGTTGGAGTCCACTATTTTTGAAAATTAAACAGTGATGTCACATAACAAAGTCAAATGCAATTCAGTGGCACATTCAAAAAATAAAAATACATAAGTTTCATCTTCCTAAACTAATTGAAAGGCCTAATAGAAACAAATGTGTCCTGGTGCAACTTAATATAATGCAGCATTATGTACAAAAAATCCCACAGTAAAAAGTCCAAGGAAATAAAACAATGATATGTCAGATTATATAGCATATGAAGCAGTCAAACAAATTGCTAAAAAAAGCAGGCAGGCTGCAATTTGTAATAGCAGCTAAATCATGCAATTGTAAAGGTGTAAACAATTTTTATATAGCAAGACTATCGGAGAATCTAAACGCAGCATGTGAGTAACAACTATTAAATTGAACAGGCACACATTTAACATGTTATTGATTTACTATTTTACTAAATAAGTGACATTAAGCAAACAAGTTATTTGTTGTTCAATCTAATTTTAGAGTATTAATGAATAGAATACCTATTTTGTTTAATACATGCTAAACATTGGAAAAAATTGACAGCAATCTTTACCATTGATATTATGCACAGGTGAAAAGGCATATCATATCATACTACTCCCAAACCCTAAAATAACAAAATTCAAATGAGAACCAGCTTCTATCCAGAAATGTTTGAATGAAGAATAAGAGCATACAGTTGGTACATCAGTAACTGATAATCTGATGACATTATATCATGCCATTCACAACATTGCCATCTAACTTACAAGAACGCGATTAATGGGGCAACGATTTTTATTTAGAGATGTATGAACAAATTTAGCAGCAAAGCTTGTGGATGGGTTGTCTGGATAGCCAACTGCTGGCAACATCTACATGAAAAATAGCATAAGGTTATTTATTATCTAGTGAAAGGAGTTGATCATTAATATTAAAAATAATTCTTGAAATCTATCAAGCTATGTCAATTGAATAAGGGAAAGAACCAAAAAGAAGCTCACTGACATCAATTGCAGCTGCCGGGGTAGGTTGCAGTACTGTCCTATCCCTCCAATCCCGCTGCCACATACGAATCTGAAGGAAGGTACACATTACCCGTAAATTTCCAATAGTAATAGACACATATGAAGATTGAAAAGTCAAAAAGATTAACAATACAGCTGTGTGTGTATTACAAAATAACGGGTAATTCCATTAGTTATTAAGAAGAAATCATTACCTGCATGTAACGCACAACAGTGCTTGTGTAATCAACTGCTTTCCTTTGAGTAAGCTTTCGTATTCTTTTTGCACCATGGCTATCACTGTGAACTGCAAAAACCATTCACTGTTAAATTAGAATTGTCACCAAAACCCAAACCCAAAATTTCCACAATTTCAAAGCTAGGCAACAAAGAAGATTTAAAAACTTAATGCCTTGAACTAAAATAATACAAGGACAGACATTTTTCAAAAACTTCAAGAATCATCTTCTCTTCTATATGCAGTAGAGAAACAGGGTTTTCATTCACAAGGAAACAAATAAAAGAAAATTATGCATTCCATAAAAAAAAAGGTTTCAGAGAATGATTCCTAATTCCATATCAAACCTAGTAAATCAAATTATGGCAAGCATTCCACAAGTCACATTTTTAGAAGATTCCAATGAGCTTTGAAAATTTAAAATTCAAGCCTTACTTGTTCATCTCCTCACATGACCATACCACGTGATACATGTTTATATCTTCCAATCAAAAAGGACCACCCGCCCAACTATCTCCCTAGCACATCCAGTCTCAATCTTTGGATTTTGTTTTGCGCATATTGAACTTTGCAAGGATTGCTGAATGAGAATACAAGCGCACCCCTATCTTTCTCTCCAATGAATCAACCAACTCAGCCATCTCAATTTCTCATCACTGCTGAACTTTCTTGTCACTACTTCACTGCCAAACATTCCCCTCCCACCATCAAGCCTAACAGTCATATAATTTATCTGTTACAACTTTTGTTTGTGTTCGGCACACACATTTTCACATATTACACCTAAAGCATTTCTCCATTTAACCCATCCACCTCGAATCATACGCGCTACATTCCCTTAACTACCCCCTGCATCATAACCACCACCTCTAAAACATTGCTAACTCAAGTCATGCCAAACCCACAACCCACACACTCCATCTTAAATCGTACATACTCCCTAGTCACCAAAAACCTCTAAAATCCCAAAAGAGTTTCTATCAACATCTCAAGTTCGCAATTTACTATTTCATTCATTCGTACAACATCCAGTAAATAAATTACAAATTATAAAAAATAAATGAAGACCTAGTTCTTCGATCCACCAAGTACATGCATTACTTAACAAATCAAACTCTTTGATTAAATTTTAATTCTCTATATTTGAAAACTCTCTCTTTTTCTCAAATCTTTCTCGCAAAAAACTTCTGTACAAATACTCTCTCTAAAAGCTCTTTCCCTAAACTATCTCTTACTAAAGCCTGTCTCTCTCACACACGCAGAGATACACACCTAATAGGACTGTATTTACATGAAATCACAACAACAGCGAGCATGTTTTCACGTTCAATTAAACTCCCTTCGTTCAAGAATAACCAAAATTATAAGAAGCAACCGGATGAAGAGCAAGTAAAACCGAACCATCGTAATGAGGGGGAGGGGCTCCTCCGGGGCCGGGGTGGTGAAACTCGGGGGCGAGGTTCGTCGACGAAGCGGAGCCTTGCCGCATCACCGGCGGCGCCTGCGAAGATGGCGGCGGTCCCCGATGGAACTCCGGTCCCGGTGGCTGGTGGTGGAAATGCGGCTGCTGCTGTTGCTGCTGCTGCTGGTACTGGTGCGGCTGGTGCTGCGGATCATTATACATCATTGTCACTGGATTGTGGAGAGAGATAAAACAGAGACTATGCAAGAAATTGGACAGCGGAGGAAAGACGAAAACCCTAAACCCCAAATTTTGGTTGGGATTAGGGAAGAAAGGACGGAGAGCGCGGCGCGGGAAAGAGAAAGGGAGAAGAAGGGAACGAGGAACGACGGCGTTTTACTCAAATCTAAACTTTGGATTTTCGGTGAACTTGTAAGTCTTTTTCTAAGAAATTGATCTATCTTAACGATATCACTACTTGGTACATCAATAAGATTTTTTTTTGTTTTAAGTAAAGTTTAAAACTCAATATTCATGTCATAAAAAATTTCTTAATCACCGGTTATTCTAACAATTTTCAATACAAAATTTTACTCTTCAGCTTAAAAGAAAAAATAAAAAACAATAATTGAACACCTTAAATTTTCTAATTAAGGATTAATTAAGAATCAGACTCCCGTTATTAAGTTTGAGATATTATCTACGTTGAAAATTGTTATTTGTCCTCATTTTATTCTTATAATATGTTTCAATGAACTAAGGAAGAAGAGTATATAAACTATATTGATCGCGACTCTTAAATAATGTAAGACTTCAAGAACGTATTTGACCTCGATCACTAAGCGATGTAGGACTTTACGAGCATGTTAAAAATTTTGAGGACTAAGAATATGTATAAGTGGAGTGAGACTCTATCCTCATTCCTACTAGTAGCGGATCTTACTTGGGAGCTGAGTGGGTCGTGGCCCCCCAAAGTTTTGTAACTCCCGTATAATTTATGATTTTGATCTCCCCAAACTTAATGAACATTTAATATATTTACTTGATTATTTATAATTTTATCCTATCAAGCCCTCATCAGCTTTGTAACTTTCATCTAATTTATGATTTTATCCCCTCAAACTTAATGATCATTTAATACATTTAACTATATATCTACAATTTTATCTTTTCAGCTCTTTCATCTTCTTTCTTCTTTTTATATTTATTTATTATTTATTAATAATATATTATTTGACCCCTCAAAGATCAATGGTCAAGATCCGCCACTGATTTCTACGATGGACGCCGCTAATGTTCTGATTAAGAATCAAGAATGTCTCGATATCATGTTTACTATAATAATATCGTTATGATCAATTCTCACGTCTAAGATATTATATACTTTGAGACTTTTGTCCATCACAATTTTATTTTTAAAAACGTCTTTATCAATTAAAGAAACAAAGTATATATAAATTACTTTCACTTAAACTATCTAAGAATTTATTAACGTATCATAACATCTTCTTTGACAAAATATTTATTTATTCATGATGCATAAACACACTAAGACATGTAAAAACATCTATATTTTCAAATTTATTATAAATTACATATTCAAATCAACTTAACTCGTTGATCTACAAGAATAACAACTTAAAAGAGTTCAAAATTACTAATGCAGTAATTTAAAAAACACCTCTAAATAAATTGCAAATAATTTGGTAAACTTAAAGGTATATATTAAATATTTGAATCAATAACAATCTTTCAAATTTCTTTTGTAAAGTTAATGTATATTGCATTGGTAGAGGAAGATCTTAAAATCTCTAAGATTATTAACAACATTTTAACATGTAAAATTATTAATATTACATTTAAATAAAAATTTATGTTTTTTTAATGTTTGATCTTTAATCTAAAATTTAAATCATATTAATATCTTTTAAAAAATAAATATAGAAAAAAAAACTTTTTTGTATCAGTTATAAACATTTTTTTCTTTATCATATCAAGTTTTAAACTTTTTTTTTCAAAAGCTGCGTGGAATATTAACATACAAAAACATGAATATACAAAATCATAAAATTCAAAAATAAAAAACCGAGATTTTCAATATAATTCATCATATAACCTTTAACAAATTTTATTCTAGAATCGATTACACCTCAACTTTATTTAGCAAAAGTAAAATAACAACTAAATATTCAAACATTAGAACTACAAACTTTATCTTAAGAGGTGTGATTAAAATCTTAAGAATGTTTCTTAAATGATAAACCCGAACCACTTAATTTTTCATCAACTATTTTGGATAATTTTTCTGTCATTGGTGAAGAAAAATGGTTTACCCAGTCTCCTTTATCTCCCTTTCGAAAAAAGTTTTTTTTCTCAATGCTTCCTCTACCAATAACCCCAGATTTATTCACTTCCAAATCCTTCATCTTTTCGAAACTGCAAAGCTTGATTATGTTTTCAATCATTCCACTACTCTCATCTTCTTGAGTGAAAGGAACCCCTAAGAACTCAGCAATTCTTTTGACATGAAAACTTGTATCCTCTTTAAGATCCTCGTACTTCATGAACATGACTTTGTTTGGTTTGGCTACACTCTCATTCCAATAGCCTAACATATGACTCCACCATGGACCATAATCAACAACCCCATTGCAGTACATTTCAAAAGCTTCCTCTTTTGAGACTGGAGGTAAAGACACAGGCTTGACTTTGTTGAAGTAAGTCCATGCAGAAACAAAGTTGTCAAAAGGGTCTCTGCAGATATAAATTATCTTGCAATTAGAGTCCTTAATTGACTTGGGTAAGGAAGGGAATGGAGTGTGAGTGCCAAAAATTCTTGGCTCAGCCATGTTGGCTAGGCGAAGAATCTGGTCCTGAATATCACCCCCAAAGGTAAATTCCATGAAAGGCACAAGTTCATGAGGATTGGAAGTGAGCAATGGATGACCCTCCAAGGAAGAGAAACGTTGGTGGTTGGAAATGGCAAAAGCAAGAGCTTTCATCCAGATAGTTCCTGATTTTGGAAAACTAGCAACAATAACATCACTTTCTTTTGCTTGAAAGTATTGTTGAAAACTTTTTACTGCATCAATATGAATTCCTGGGCACCAAAAATCTTGAAATAGATGAAGAGGATAAGATTGTGCCCAAGACTTCTCTTTTTGAAGGGAGAGTGTTGCCTTTTCATCCTCATTTTCTTGGTGGAAGTTGATAAAAGCTGCCATTGGAGTAGCGAATAGCTAGAATGTGAATGATAATGTAGCAGTAGTTTTTTTATGAGAACTTTAGTTGGGCAAATAACCTTTATATATAGATCAACCAGAGATTCAAGATTAACAAAAATAATAAAATCACCAATTTATTAATTTTAAATTGATATTTGACCACATTAAATTTTAATTAATAGTTGACCAACTTATTAATTTTAAATTTGACCAAATTAATATTTTAATTAATATTTAATTTTTAATTATTGTTTTTAATTTGATATTTGACCAAATTAATATTTCAATTAATAATTAACTTTTAATTATTATTTTTAAATCCATATTTAAAACTAGAATTTGACTAAATCAATACAAATTATTATTTTAATTTAATATATATATATATATATATATATATAATTTTTTGCTAATTTAATATTATGTCATCAAATACTTGAAATTTGTTTATTTTAATACATGTTTTCTATATCATTCTAAAAAATATTTAATATTTATATTTCTAAATATATTTTTCAGCTTTCTTTTCATTTCCCTAAAACTTTAATTGACATATTATCTATATAATTTAACATTAATGCTTTGATGCGTTATATTTATATTTTGGGTAAAAATAGTCTTTGTCTATATAAATAGGGCAATATTAGATTTTACTATCTTTAACCATAAATTATTTGTCTCTTTGGTCAATTTTTTATTGGCTGTCATATGGTTTTTATTTTCATTTATCACGAGTTAAAAGAATAATTTTTTTGTTTTTTTAGATGTTAAAGTATTAACATAATATATATTTTCATAAATGAGGAAGAGAAGGAAACATTTTACTTTTGACTATCAAAATATTTATTTGTCAAAAAATTCAATTATTGCTTTCTAATTCGTTTTTATTATGTATTGATTTTAGATTATTTTCTATTATTTATTTTATTATACAACTGTTACGATGATTTTCAGTTTTAAGAATTACCATTACTTTTATAGTTTCATAGTTGAATGTAATAAATTCATTATTTTAACTAGTTTTTTTTTAAGTAAAAAATTAACCAAATTTTACAAATAATTGTTCTTAAAGAGAGAATGAGAGTATCACGATCTAATGTTTATTATAATAATTTTATTATTATCAATTCCTTATGTTTGAGGTATTATTTGTGTTTAAAGTCCTTGTGTATCATAATTTTAGATAAAATGACTCAAGTGAAAGTAATTTTCACTTTATTACTCATTCTCGTATATATTATTATTATTTGTCTGAAAAGCAACTCAAGAGTAGAGTATCTTTTACATGTAGATCTATGTTATTTAAAAAAAAAAAACTACTTTTGATTATTCAAAGTTGCAACTTATAAATTGATCTACTTATCTCCTCATTCTAATTCCACACCATTTTGTCAACTTAATCCGATAAAAATATTTGACACTCACCATGGGACCAAAAACAAAGCCTCTTACTTAGAATTTATGTTCTAATACGCTTATGAGTCTCACATCCTTAAGAATTAATTTCGGTGGTACTTTATATATACCTTATTCTCTTAATCACTTATGCAGCATATAAGAACAAACCAGAGTTTTAAAATATATAATACATTGAACATGAAAATTTACCTTAATAATTTTATAAAAAATCTCATTATTAAATAAAATAAATATATTTTTATTATTTTTATTTATTACTTTAATATTAATTAATTTATTTGGTATACAACTTCTGACAAAAATTAATTTATCTAGCATAACAATTAATTTATTTTTATCCTTATTTATTGAAACCACTTGCAAGTCTTGAAGTTTAAATCCAAGTATGAATAAAATGAAATCAAAAGTGATATTTTTTTCTAATGGGTATTTTTGTCTACTCGGAGTATGTCTCGATTTTTAATTTTATAATTCGAATTCAATTTATATATATATATATATATATATATATATATATATAATTTTATTTTAATGTCAATATTTTACTTTTCTACATGAATTTCGATATCAATCTTAATTTTTTACTAATCAATTTCTATATATTTTTTTTATAAATTGATTCAATATAAAAAAAATTATTATGTTTAATTCATACATGTACACATTGGAATGTATTATTTAAGTCATAGCAATAAATAAATTGACTGGGATATATAAACAATAAATATATATATATATATATATATATATATATATATATATATATATATATTATAAAGAAATATAACAAAACTCGGTCGATTTCAGAATCTGGTAACAATAATGTATATAACTTTTTCAATTTTATTAATTTTTAAAATATTTTGCATTGGTTCCAAAGCAATCAAATTAATATATAAACGATTATATATTTTTAAAAAATAAAAATAAATAAATTTAAATTTCTTACATTTGTACTCTTGTTTAGTTTTAAACATTTTTTTAATTCAAAACTCTTTTGGAGAATTAAAAAAAAACAAGTAACTAAATCATTCATCATAACATTCACTTGTAACACAATTTTTTTTTATGGAAACACCTCAACTTTATTAAACAAAAGGAAAAGTTACAATGTGATCTTCAAACTACAAACTTTACCTCTGGGTAGGAGGTGTGAATAAAATCATCTCTCCAAAGTATATCTTTATCTCTTCCCTCCAATAGAAAGTTATCATATAATCACTTTTTATTGTAGATGACAGAAATAGAGATTCAATCTATTCAGAGATGATTTATTTCCGTTCTATAATTTTAAGAATGTTTCTTAAATGATAAACCCGAACCACTTAATTTTTCATCAACTATTTTGGATAATTTTTCTGTCATAGGTGGAGAAAAATGGTTTACCCAGTCTCCGTTATCTCCCTTTCGAAAAAAGTTTTTTTTCTCAATGCTTCCTCTACCAATCACCCCAGATTTATTCACTTCCAAATCCTTCATCTTTTCGAAACTGCAAAGCTTGATTATGTTTTCAATCATTCCACTACTCTCCTCTTCTTCAGTGAAAGGGACCCCTAAGAACTCAGCAATTCTTTTGACATGAAAACTTGTATCCTCTTTAAGATCCTCGTACTTCATGAACATGACTTTGTTTGGTTTGGCTACACTCTCATTCCAATAGCCTAACATATGACTCCACCATGGACCATAATCAACAACCCCGTTGCAGTACATTTCAAAAGCTTCCTCTTTTGAGACTGGAGGGAAAGACACTGGCTTGATTTTGTTGAAGTAAGCCCATGCAGAAACAAAGTTGTCAAAAGGGTCTCTGCAGATATAAATTACCTTAATATTAGAGTCCTTGATTGACTTGGGTAAGGAAGGGAATGGAGTGTGAGTGCCAAAAATTCTTGGCTCAGCCATGTTGGCTAGGCGAAGAATATGGTCCTGAATATCATCAGGCCCAAAGGTAAATTCCATGAAAGGCACAAGTTCATGAGGATTGGAAGTGAGCAATGGATGACCCTCCAAGGAAGAGAAACGTTGGTGGTTGGAAATGGCAAAAGCAAGAGCTTTCATCCAGATAGTTCCTGATTTTGGAAAACTAGCAACAATGACATCACTCTCCTTTGACTGAAAGTGTTGTTGGAAACGTTGTACTGCGTCGATATGAATTCCTGGGCACCAAAAATCTTGAAATAGGTAGAGGGGATAGGGTTGCGCCCAAGACTTCTCTTTCTGAAGGGGGAGTGTTGTCTTTTCTTCAGTATTTTCTCCATACACATTGGTGAAAGCTGCCATTAGAGTAGTTAGAATGTGAATGATAATTCGACAGTGGTTTTGGATGAGAATAACTCACTGCCAAATAAGCTTTATATACATCAACAGGTTATTCTAGAAAAAAAAAAAACATATCACCAAATTATTAGTTTTAAAGTGATATTTGACTGCATTAAATTTTAAATTAATAATTGACTAACTTATTAATTTTAAATTCTGATCAAATTAATAATTCAATTAATGATTGTCTTTTAAAAGAAGTTAGAATTTGACTAAATTAATATAAATTATTAATTGTTTATCTAGATCAAGATTATAATCGTGGATATATTTTAATAGAATATTTAAGGAATATTCGAGTAAATTAATTACATATGAGATTTTTGGTATCAATTTATCTTAATTTGTCAAAAATTATATAGAATAGTTAGTTAATATGCAGGGATAAATATTTATATTACCTCAAATGTTAGAGAAATTGTATCTAGAGGGGGTGAATAGATGTACAAATTAAAATAGATGTCAAATTAAAAATTTATTTGTGAGTCAATAATTTGTTTGAACACAGATAAAGCGGAAACGATAATATAATCAAGAAAAGAGAAAAAGATAAGGGAAAGAGAAAAACACATTATACTGGTTCGGGTATAGTCAACCCTACATCCAATTCTCAGTCAATTCTAATCACAAGAGTGACTCTCAATTCACTATCTTTTAAATTCAGTTCACAAATTACAATCAACTCAACATAGAAACCAGTAAAAAGTAAACTAATTTAAAATACCTCCTTAGAAACTCACTAAGGATGAACATCTCCCTAGAATCCCACTAGGGATGAACACCTCCTCTGAACAAATCAAAGGATGAACAACATCTCCTTAGAATCCCACTAAGGATGAACACCTCCCTAGAATCACACTAGGGATGAACACCTCCTCTAAACAAATCAAAAGATGAACAACACCTCCTTAGAATCCCACTAAGGATGAACACATCCCTAGAATCACACTAGGATGAACACCTCCCTGAACAAATCAAAGGGATGAAACACACCTTCTAAACCCACAAAGGATGAAGGAGTAAAATAAGAACAATCACACCTGGGTAATGGAGACAACAAATTGTAGAAGCATGTAGAATGTCAATCTTTAAGAACAAGTGTGATTAACAATGAAAGCACGTAAGACGAGTAGAAAAGAGAGTTTTCTCATAATGTGTAAAATATCTCTGTTGTCTTACTCGAATTCTTTTCTCAAAATTGATTGAATGAAAATTGTATTTTTGAATTACGTAATTGTGTGTTTTTTGTTTTTCATCAAAACTTAATTAAATAGAAAAATAACATCAGAAAATGGTCGTTGGACATTAATATTTTCATGAATAAAAATCAGGATATATTCAAAAATATTTATTCTTCAAAACATATATATTTTTCAAATTTGATTGTCATAATTGATTTTGTTACCAATATAATCAATTATGACAGAGAAAATCAATTTTTCATTTCCGATGCATCATAATTGATTATGATAGTGAAAATTATCATATTATGAATTTTATCACACTTGTGCTTTGGAGGCTTATGCATAATATTACTTCATCAACTTGTACCTCCATATCCAGTATTCTAAGACTCTATCTAGTCTTTAGGAATCATTTTAGGCTTGCTTGAATCATCATCTTTATTAAAAACATATCTTGGGCATGTAGGAAAATGTTTCACATTGACACCAACGTTTTAAATTCAACTTGTCCTTAATTCATCTTGAATGGTGTTGACTTGAATCATCATCAAAATCATCTCTTGGGAATATAAGGACATTTTCATCAATCTCCCCCTTATTGCTTTCATCAAATACTTACAATAATTTATCTTTATATATTGATGTCAACTAACCCATTTATTTATACATTATAAAAAAATTATTAATTACTAATGGATATTTACTTATGGATATGTAATCGTCAGAAAAGGATTGATTACCGACGGATTTAAAGTAGTTGTGGAATTTGGTCTTATCGACGGATATATTCGTCGAACAATTAATTACCGATGGATATATCCGTCGGTAAATGAATAATTAATTACCGACGAATATATCCATCGATAAATCCGATCTGTAAATAAAAAATTAATTACCTATAAATATATCCAGCTCGGTAAATTAACAATCTTGATAATAAACAATTAGTTATCGACTGAATATATCCATCGGTAAATTAACAATTAATTACCAACAGATTTAAAGTATATTTTTAAAAATCAACATTAAATTAAAAATATTAAATATTTAAAATTATATAATAATTACTTAATTTTAAATATATTCTAATAAATTAATTATTCACCTAATTAAAAAATTAAATACTTTTTATTTAATAATTTAATTTAATCATAATTAAATTAATTTATAATAATTTGTTAAATTAAATAATTTTAAAAATAAATATTTAAGTATTTTTAATATTGAAAAAATTATTTTAATATAAAATTTTAATTAAATAATAGAAGAGGAAAAAGATAAATTAAATTAAAATAAAATATAAATAAATAAAAATAAATATTTTATATCTTTATATAAATAAATTATAATAATTATATCCTATCATTAAATTATAAACTTATATAAAGAAATTAGCTCATAAATTTAACATGAAAATCTTGAAAATTCACTTGACATATACTTTCACTTTCAATGCGCTCCTCACATCCAAAATATATATTTTACTTTATTTTGGATATATATGTATATATATTTTACTTTATTTTTATTTACCTATTTCCTTAAGCAATATATATATATATATATATATATATATATATATATATATATATATATAAATTTTACATGTTGAATTTTTCTATTCTAATATATGTTTTTCTATACTATTTTTAAAAATATTTAATATTTATATTTTTAAATATATCTTTTTCTTCGTTTCCCCAAAACTTTAATTAACATTTTATTATATAATTTAACATTAATGCCTTTTGTGATGTGTTATATGTAGGGTAAAATATACTTTTTGTCTATACAGGCAGGGCAATATTCGATTTTATCTTCTTGAACAATAAATTATTTGCTTCTTTGGTCTATTTTTTTGAACTGTTTCACATGATTTTTATTTTCATATATGACAAACCAAAAGAATATCTTCATATATGACAAACCAAAAGAATATGATTTTTCTTTCTTCTTAAAAAATTAAAATATTGACACCTTATACATTTTCATAAATGAGGAAGAAAAGGAAACATTTTATTTTTGAATATCAAAACATTTAATTCTAAAAAATACAATAGTTGCTTTATAATTTGTTTTTATTATGTATTATTAATTTCAGATTGATCTTTTACTGTTTATTTTATTATACAATGATTGTGATGGTTTTTGAATTTAAAGAATTATGTTGAAAGTAATAAATAACTATTTAATACATTAATGATAATTTATGTTTTGAATGTTTATCACTGAAACTTGCATATCTTTAATCTATACTTTAATTTTTTTCATTAAAAATTGTTGGGCCAAATTAGTTTAATACGATTAAATGAATTTAACACAGTTTTTTTTTTTCATAAAATGATAGGTGGAAATAATTGAAGAAGAAAAGAAATAGAAAAAAAAAACTTTTCCATCCTCTGACAAATACTTAGACTAACACGGCTAAGGAAGTATTTTAATATTATTTATTTTATTTTTTTATTGATTTCTAAAAATGGGATGTTTATAAATTGATGAGAGTCAAAGTTAAAGATTAATTAAAAAATAAGATCTTTTTTTTTGGAAAAAAATAACCAAACTTTATAAACATTATATTCTCATTAATAATAATAATAATAATAATAATAATAATAATAATAATAATAATAATAAACAAATTTATGACTATTTAAATCAAATTTTTTATAAAATTATAACTTCACATATTTTAAAAAACAAACTATAATAATATAATTCTTTTTTCTGACACTGATAATATATAGTAACTAAATTTTTTAATTTGTTATCTTTAAAGCTCTACTTTTTCAATAATAATTTATTTTATTTAAATTAGAATCCATTTGTTATCATTTAAAAAAATATATACAGAATTCAAGTAGCATTTCAATAAGAGCACCATGCAAGATTTTTTTTTTTAAAAGCCAAAGAAAGTGTTTTTTTTTATACCAAAATTGTATACTTTTTCATAAATTTATTAAAATGGGTACATTTTTAAAAATTACAGATTCAGGTTTAAGAAGAAGTATAACTAGTACAACTTTATATTTTTAGTTTTTATATTATAATTGTTGAATATAGAAGAAATAGAGTTTGGGATTAATCTCCCTTGTGTATAAATCACACATAGGGTAGTCTATTTATAGTAGAGAGATACAACTAAAAGAGTAAGCTGAAAGTAACAGAATAAACGAGAAGATATTGTTAGATATTATTGTTTGATATTATGGTTAATATCTAACAATATCTTAACAATATTAAATAATATCTAAACAATATCTAACACTCCCCTCAAGTTGGAGCATACAAATCGTATGTGTCAAGCTTGTTACAAATATAATCAATTCTAGGACCCGTAAAGATTTAGTAAAAATATCTGCTAACTGATCACTTGAGTTAACAAACTCAGTCTTGATGTCTCTAGACATAATCTTTTCTCAAATGAAATGACAGTCAATCTCAATGTGTTTGGTCCTTTCATGAAAGACAGGATTAGAACTAATATGAAGAGCAACCTGATTGTCACACACAAGTGACATTTGAGTGACATCTCCAAATTGTAACTCTCTAAGCAATTGTTTGAGCCAAACAAGTTCACAAGCAACTGAGGCCATAGCTCTATATTCTGCTACGCACTAGATCTTGCCACAACACTTTGTTTCTTACTTTTCCATGAGACCAAGTTACCACCAATGGAGACACAATATCCGGATGTAGATCTTCTATCCGAAGGAGATCCTGCCCAATCAGCATCTGAGTAACAAACAACTCTTGTATGATTATTAGAATCATATAACA